ACTGTACTAAAACAGCATGCTACACTTACATATGACGCTAACCTCACTAACACCAAGAGACGGAAAGATATTGTCTGTACTGCTAGTTATGAATCAAAGTACGTATTTACACATAGATTTTTTGCATTTTTAGGGCCATATCTGTACAATAAAATTAATAAAGAAACTTTAGTTTACGATCTAAATTACACCAGAGCAAAACAGCGCATTTCTCAATATCTACTATCATTAAGTTATGATAAAAGCGAGGATTTGTTAATTGTCATTAAATAAATTATATATAAGTAGGTATAAATAGATAATAATTATTTTTAATGCAAGTATAAAGTGGTGTTTCCTGACCGGTGTGTGTATAATTGTATACATACATAGGATTTGTAATATTTGTAATATTGGTGACTGTGAAAAGTAATATTGTTAAAGCTTAGTTATATTATCCTAATGTATAATGCACGCGACCACAAAGCCTGTGGTACAGATTTAATTCTATACAGGCATAGTATTGTAACCTACCTAGAATAGTTAAATAATAAGCTTAGATTAAGTATATGTGAACAAAATGGAAATAAATATATTTGTTTGTTTGTTTGTTTGTTTGTTTGTTTGTTTGGTGTTGTCAAAATGTAAATCCAAGATGGCGTCTGCACAAAATTTTGAATATATCGTCATGGGTGTCGTTCTCATGGTTTTCGAGGGTGATAAAACCGATGGTGTTGTCAAAATGTAAATCCAAGATGGCGTCTGCACAAAATTTTGAATGTATCGTCATGGGGGTCGTTTTCATGGTTTTCGAGGGTGATAAAGCCGATGGTGTTGTCAAAATGTAAATCCAAGATGGCGTCTGCACAAAATTTTGAATTTATTGTCATGAGTATCGTCTTCATGGTTTTCGAGGGTGGTAACAAAGATGGTGCTGTCAAAATGCAAATCCAAGATGGCGGCTGCACGATATTTTCAATTTATCGTTATAGGTGTCGTTTTCATGGTTCTCGAGGGTGGTGAAAATGATGGTGTTGTCAAATTGTAAATCAGAGATGATGACTGAACGAAATAGAGTTAGTGCATTTATCGAGAAAGATTAAGTATGTGTGTGAATGTGTGTGTGTGTGTGTGATAGAGAGACAGAAAGAATACGTGCAACCTATTTTATAGATTTTCTATGAAAATTGAGTATGTTCATATAATATTAGTTTTTATATAATAAAAACGGTGGCCTAGACCTGAGGTTCACAGGCTCTTAGGTTAATGCTTTTGGATGCAGAAACCTGACGCAGTCACTTCATAGAGTTTAGTTTGTCATCCATCACTTAATATCTTTTTAATCTCTATTATTAATAGAGAGGCTGTCATCTTTGATCGATTATGCCAGCATAACTGTCATTTGATCTAAGTTTAAGGAATTATTTTGTAAAAATTGCAATACAGTATTAAATAAATGTGTATAATGTTATTTTACTATTTCCAAAAAATATTATTTTAAGCCTAAATTTTAAAATAATGTTGCAACCTTGCTTGGAACTGTGTGGCCACTGAAAATATTAGTTTTGACAACAGTTAATTTCAGGTTCGAAAACTAGATGTAGTTGACGGTCCGATTTTTTAAGCTGTCAATGGCTCTAAGTGTGACGGCCCTGGTCACGGCGCAACATTTGAACACAGCGTCGTAAAAAATTGGTGTTTTTTGGTTTTAAAGTGTTACAGAATGCATGTGACTACCTCATAGTAAACTAAAATTATTTTTTTAACATTTAAACAAAGTGTATTTTATATAAATATAAATTTTCTGCTTAAAAAGCTAAAGGAAGGGGTGTGAAAAAGGTAAGTGTTTTTAAAGAAAACACGAATTTATTGAAAAAAGATATCTAAACGTGTCATGTACAATTAAAAATAGTATTATTCACTATACCTACCTAGAAATTTGATCGTGAAGTAAGGTTAAGACCTTAAGATAAATGATTTGATAACATTATTGATCAATACGTAATAAACAATGATTATATTCTCTGTATTATTTAAAGAGTCCCTAAGACCTTTTAAAATACCGATAAGAAGTCGTAGGTCACTCTTATGATTATAAAATGTATAGTTGTGTTAATTTCGGTGTCAGTTTAACGATTTAGCATACAAAAGAGTAAAAACGTTCACCCCGAATTTTGTTGAACATTCAAATGAATAAAATTAATATGCAATTAATTAACATGTGTGCAAATTCTGTAAATGACACTTAATTTAAGCGAAATTTTGGCTTGAAATTAACATTGTTAAACTAAAAAAGAAAGGTAAAGGGACTTGATAATAAAGTTTTTAAATACCTACATAATACTTTAAGTAAATAGGTACCTACTAACTTTACATAATTTATGATTTATAAAAAAAATCGTAATTTTTTATCAATGACCAATCTTGATAGTAAATTCTACAGTGATTTCTACAATCACAATTGTCGTGATATCGATATGAAGATAACCAAGATTTTTATGGCTTCACCATGCCCGATATCCAATCTTCATTTACCACACCTTTAGTTCTGGTTCCTTTCCTCTTTATCTATTGTCAGTCGATGGAGTTAGGTGTAGTATTAAAGAATCTCTTCAGTGATTGCGTAATGTCTTCGATTTAACAATTTAACAATAAGTTAAGGAGCCGCGGAAGACTTAACGGGTTGCCGGGCCTCCGACTCGAAGAGCAATAGTAGGAACGGAGTTTTTAGTCAGTAATAACCTGACATTCCTTCTCGCCTCGCCCAAGGTGGGAGGGAAATTTTCCCCTTAAAAATAGAAAATAAGTAAGTTTTCGTTTTTTATTTGAGACAAAATAATAAACGTTTAGAAACTCGCAAAAAATATTAAAAAGTTACTTTTTAAATAAGCATACCGCATGGCCTCTAAACGTGAACAGAATTTATTTCATTCAGCTCTTGATAAGTGTAAGATACTCTAACGCCTGAATACTGAAAGACTACTCTATTTTAAGTTGTAGATACTATTATTGTGTCAACTTTGTCATTTCACAAAAAAAATTGTAGTGAGAGAAATATACTTAGGCGCGACTTAAAATTGAGTAACCGTAAAAGAGGGTGAATAGAATTCGAGAGGTGAATAGATACAGAAGAGGGGTGAATAAATATTTAGAAAATGTTCTAATATTTATTCACCCCTTTCTTTTTATATATTCACCTCTCGAATTCTATTCACCCCGTTTTACGGTAGCGTTTCAGTGTTTTGGCTTATGGGTCTTGAAATGCAATTATAATATTTAGGTAAATCCTCTTTCGTAAGCTGAGAACATCCTTCACGCTGGAATTCTGGATGCTGAAAAAAAATCAGTCTGTCATTTTTTAGATTGTTGTTTACGAACTGAAATTATATTTTGGAAAATATTTTTTTTATGCTTTAATCTACATTTTATGTACGTAAATGCCGTCAGATATTGCTGGGTATTTACTTACCTATCTATTTATTAGCTACGTGGTTCCGTAATAAAGGATAATAGCGGTGTAAAATGTCTCTCTCTTGAGAGTAAAACGATGGGAGAAATCCTTAGATTCCCTCGGCAATAACCACGTTTTGTGATACATAATTCAAAATCATTCGGTGAATGAATTGGTACGAAAAAGCACAAGAAGTTGATCAAATCTTGGACAGCTCACTTACAATCGAATTCTGAAAGAACTTTGGTTACCGAACCGCCAGCAAGAAGGTCGGTACTCAGGTACTTGAAATGTACCCGAGTGATTTTAATTCCGTAATTAGTAACTTACCTAACTGTACAAATATTATTTTCAGATTGTACCGGACACATCCTGGAATACCTAGTACCTACAAAATAAGAAATTGGAATCCCGTCCTTCAGTCCTTAATAATAAACGTAATGTACCATTTGATATTAAGTACCTACTTATTATATGTAGGTAGTATATTTTACACGTTGGGCCCAAATGACCTGAGATTTCGATGTCCGGATAAGAAAATATTGAACACGTTTACAAATAATTTAAAACAAGCATGATTTTAATATTTATTTTTCATCAGTCATAAACAACGACGTATTGTGATACGTATGTGATACATTAAAGTCCTTGGATTTGTTTGAACGATAGCAATAATACGTCTCTGCGTTCAGCGAGTATGTAAAATTATCTAATTAGGTACCAGCCTTATCTGGAGTCAAACAAACATTTTTAATTGTTAAGCAACCGTGTGATTGAGATAAGTGTGCTCCGACACATGAATATTACATTAATGTAACGTAATTTTTTCTCGGTAACAATAATAAATTACGATTTTGATAAATTTTCAGTGTTTTAAGGGAAGAGAACAATTTGAATTTCATTCTCATACTACAACTAATTTTCTGTTTGATGACGCAATGGAAACAGCAACATCGCTATTAATTATTATGTTTTTCGGCTTACTCACGTAATTATTTGACAAGAAACTCGACTAGTTTCAAGCCAGGCTAGAGGCTCATATTCATGAACGGCCATCCGCGGGGGCGACGCGGCGACAGGCTGCTACTGGTGTTGGTGCATAATATTTAATTTAGTATGTCTCACGAATTTTATAACATAAACATCACTATTATAAAAATATTCAAATGTCTTGATGTTCCTACTGTGAGCGGCCCGTGATAGTGCAATTCTTGAGTTGCTCGCGTTAGCTTACTTTCTATTTGAAATAAATAGATGTATCTTTAACTTAATCTTCCAAGTATTAAAATGCATAACATAACATAACATCACGCAGAGGCAGAGGTGCACATTATGCCACTGTACAATGTAACACCCACTTTTCACTATTTATGTTATGAGTCCCATGTAATAGGGGGTTAGGGGGTGAGCCTATTGCCATTTACCGGGCACAGTTCCAGACTCCGTGCTACTACTTAGAATTTTTATAAAACGCAGTAATACTTTGCCCGACCCGGGAATCCACTCGGCCAACGAGGCATTAAAATGCATAACATAATAAACATTTACTTTTGTTCTAGAATAATCCAAAATGTCGATAAACTTGGATGAGCCCAAATATGACCAGAAGACGTACTGGGGTCGTGCCAAGCATTTTATACTTCTCACCAACCCATTAAACGCGTTTGCGTCAGAAAAGTCACTCAATGAAGCGAAGAGAGTCGTGAATGAGTACAGGTGAGACCTTCATCCATAACTAATTATGAAACATCAGCACAGACAAAAAGATCAAAAGACCTGTCATAGAATTTGATTAGAAGAACATCAAAAACTACTTTGACTGGCAAAATAGTACGCAAGTGTTTCAAAGGACAGACAAATACTGTTTTAAATGATTATATTTTAAAAATAATCTCCAAAAAATGATAATGGTTACAAAATCTCAAGTTAATTATTTCCTACATTTTGCCGCCCGACATGGGACTAATTTACAATACTGACGCCCGAATACTGAAAGGCTACTCATTTTAAGTATCGCTTAAGTATACTTCTGTCACTTCTCTTCAAATTCTTTATAATAAAACAGACATTGCACGATATTTAAGTATAACTTATAATAGGGTAGTTGCCTAAATTTTATTTTAATGTCCGTCTGGTAGATTAATTTAAAACATTAGACACGTATTTTTTCTTTTTTACAAAATTAAATACTTTCGACGATATAATAATCTGAATATCGCGTGACGTCTCAATACGCTATATTTTGTAGCACTTAGTGACGTAACGACCTACTCCTAAACCATTTTATCGAAGTATTATAACTTTGTACGAGAAAATAAAAAAATACGTGTCTAATATTTTTTCGTTGTCTAACTGACCGACTAAGTAATTAGATTTTTAATTTTCATTCCTTGGCAACTACTTAGTAGTCTTTCAGTATTCGAGGGTACGACAATCTATTTACTATTTGATAATTAATCGGCCCTTTCAGTAATTCTATAGCACGACATATCGTATGTAAACACACTAAGTCTATTTAAAATATTAAGCTAGTAGATTACGTCGTGTCAATAATATATTTGTTTAGCAAAACAATCGTGCGCCTGCGTCGTTGATTCTTGAACTTTGTTTGAATAATATCCAACGGTCACAATGACACTGAGGCAGATAAACAAATGAGTTTTATTTTGTCTTGCCCTATTAGGTAATATTATTAAACACGCTGTATAAATAAATATTTTTTTCTGATAGACAGAATATTAATTATTGAACTTAAGTAAAAATTAATTAACTGAAGTTTATCATGCCATCATGCTTGCTCTTGAAATTTTAAGAAAAAAAGTTTAAAGGTTTAGAGGTAAAAGTTGGTGCCAGCTACGAAATTTTGCCAACTTTTCGCTGCCTAGATACGTCATTTGAAAATTTAGAGACAAAGCACACCTACCTATAGGAGGAAGTCCCGTAACGCCGGACGGCACCTAACGCAGGACACTTGTATTATCTCGATAACTTGTAACACGAGACTGGGAGATTTCCCCCTAAAAATTGAATGGCTCGCGTTATTAGCTATCGAGATAATACAAGTGTCCGGCGTTAGGTGCCGTCCGGCGTTAAGGGACTTCCCCTAATAAGGCTAAAATCTTCTGCATGATCACAATTTTTAATTTCGTACTCATACAAAAATTGCTTAGGAAATAAGTAGGTATCTAATTTGAAGCCCCATTTTTCTGTCAGTCAATAAATGTATCTATTTTAAATTATAAGTACGTATTTGTATCTACAATATCCAGGAGAACAAGGTCAATGCCAGCGGGATATAATGAAGAGAAACTATGGGCTGCTAAATATTTGTACGACAGCGCATTCCACCCTGACACAGGCGAAAAGATGATCAGAATCGGCCGTATGTCCGCACAGGCGCCTATGAACACACTCATCACAGGATGTGAGTAATCTACCAAAAAACAATCATCCGAACATAAAATCTCCTCCTTGCTATGTTTAAGGTAAAAAGCCGCAGTCAACTGCTAGACTTTACCATTACTTTTACTGCTACCAATTGAAAGATTTAAAAGTTTTTCAGTACTACTGTTTAACGATTCAATATCCAAAGCCCCTACGAGTTTATTTTACATTTAAAGTAATCGTAACGAGTACGCGTTCAGCGCTGTGATTGGTTGCTTCATTGGCGCCGGCCAATCAGAGTGCCGAACGCATACTCGTTTCGAATACTTTAAACGTAAATCAAACTCGTACTAAGGCCTCAGGTAAAATAAAACCTAGCAGTGGACGTCTTGTGGATGATAGTGATAATTTATACCCTATTTTTATAGAATTAGAGTCTAGGTACTCTAATTGATGATTAAAAAATATTTATTTGTATCCCCCAGGTATGATAACTTTCTACAAGACAAGGCCAGCTATTATATTCTGGCAGTGGGCCAATCAGACGTTTAACGCCTTGGTCAACTACACCAACCGATCTGGTGATGCAGTTTTAAGTCCTGCGTAAGTACATTTAGTAATTTTCCTCGATAAATATCCACCTCAATCTAAAGACTTACCCAACAAGCAAAATCAATACTTAAATTAGTGTTCTTTAAGAGTAGGTACTTTTATTTTCACTTATAATAGTCTAGTAACATGCTACAACGTTGCATTTGGGGGCAGTAATAGGAGCGTTTAGTTCTGTAACTATCTCATAACCATCATCATCATCATCATCATCATCATCAACAGCCGGAAGACGTCCACTGCTGGACAAAGGCCATAACCATCTTATACAAATACAATAGCCCTATAATATACTTGACAAAACGCAACTTAATGACAAGTGTAAAATCTCTTGTTAGTATCTCACTGGATAGGGAGCCGCGGAAAGCCTAACGGGTTGCCGGGGCTCCGTCTCGAAGAGCAGGAGTAGGAACGGCGTGGCTTTTAGTCAGTAAGTGTCTGACACTCCCTCCCGCCTCACCCAGGCGCGGGATAAGTCATTCGATGATTTTCCCCCCCTAAAAAAAAACGTCTAGAGTCTACGGCAATGCCTTTACAAGAACGTTATAAGTGGTACCTAATAGTCTTATGTTTTTTTAATAGGATTACTTTGCTTGTTTGTTGGCTTTGGATTGATGTCAGTTAGTGATTATGAGAATTATTACTTGTGATGAAATACTCACATGAGTGATTACGAAATAAGTGAACTCAAGCCCGATTCCCAAATTGTTGATAATGTTTTCTGTGGGATATTTGCATTGGGCCGCAAACGAGCAGACGGATCACCTGATACCTGCTTGACGGTAAGCAGTCGGTACCGCCCGTTTCCATTGCACCCCCAACAAATAGTGGAGGAGTAAAAATGTATTATCGGCGTTTTAGGGGTTAGGGATTTGAGGATTGGGCCTTTGGAAACCTCACTCAAACGGCGAAATATATATGACGCAAGCGTTGTTTCACGCCGGTTTTCTGTAAGTCGGCGATATCACTCTGGTCGAGCCGGCTCATTCGTACCGAGAAATCCATCCAAGGTCATTAAGCTTTTTGAAATTCTTAATAGCACAGCTCGCATAAGACTTGTAACATACTGCCTCTGTTAAAATAAAAAGCATGATGTAAAATATTTTTTGGTATGTCCCGTTCGTAACGATAGCGTTTCTCTTTGCAGGCAATTGCTGGCGTCTTACTGCGCAGCCTGCAGCGGTGCGCTCACCACTGCATTGTACCTCAACAGTAAAGTTAAGGTGAGCGTCTATACATTTTTTTTTATGGCATAGGTAAGCCGGTAAACGAGCGACGGATCACCTGATGGTAAGCAATCGGCGTCGCCCGTGAACACCTGGAACACCAGAGGCGTTACAAGTGCGTTACCGGCCTTTTGGCGATTAGGAGTTCAAGGATCGTTGGGGATTCAGGAATTGGGGATATTGGGGAAGGGGAGGGCCTCCGGTAACCTCACTCACACGACGAAACACAAGGCAAGCGTTGCTTCACGTCGGTTTTCTGGGAGCCCGTGGTATCACTCCGGTCGAGCCGGCCCATTCGTGCCGAAGCATGGCTCTCCCACGCTTAAAAACATCGTATTTAAATAAATATATAATTATAATAAGTGACCTTAATAGTGCATTTCTTCCTGCCCTCGACAAGAATAAAAAGTAAAGAGACTTGGAATTTTCTATGAAAAGCGTTGATCGTTTTTTGTTTATCTTCTAAGGAATATTTTCTTTGAGCATTCCAAAAATTTTAATCAGCTTCATCTAGATATATATTTACGAAAATATATACGTTTCAGTAAACCGACGTAAAACAACGCTTACGTTATGTTTCGTCTTGACAGTGAGGTTAACTTAACTTTAGCACGGAAATGAATTTTATATAAGTAAACTATATTTTTTATAATATTATATCAAAAAATCAGTGTTAGACAATCTCGATTCGCCAATAAATATATCGGTCGCTGTAATTTATCACACGTTTTATCAACGTATCGCGTGATTTTCCGAGTTATCAGTTATTTTGGTGGAGTAGGTAAACACCGGTGTTATTGTCGTGTATTGAATACCTACCTACTAACTACGTCATGGAGGTGTGTCGGGCTTGTATCTGTGTGTGTGTGCCGGAAAAACCAACGAATTACTGATGTATAGACAAGACTATGTATAGATATTGTTTATATAAGAAAACGTCGTGCTAAGAGAATTTTCAGTTGATGTCGTATCGCGTTATGTGCTTAGATGATTGATGTTAATTTTTTACATAGTTAATTAAAAATGATGCATGTAGGTAATCGTATAGTAATATGAAATTGTTAATTTCAACTAAATGTAGTACGTCAATGTGAACATCTTTACCTACGTAGTACCTATGTGCGTAGAACAACAAGGGCCCTATTTTGGCCTCGTAAATCTTGAGAGATTATTCGTCGTTAACGCAATATTATTCTTACTACTTAATACCTAACATGGACAGCTATCATCGGCGCTTATGAACCTCTAGCACTTACTAAGCATTCAATTCAATTCTTTTGATAACTGACTTCATGGTATTGAACTCTTTACATCAATAGGGTGAGGTAATAAACGGTACCATAACCTCTTTTCATCATAATAATTATCGTGTTTGTGTTTATGAAGGTACATTTTGGTTTAAATCAATAAAGCTACCTACGTCAAATGAATAATTTATTAAAGTTTAATGCATAGTAAAGTGTATTTAAGTAACTCTTACCTACTTTATTTTCATGTAGGTAAATGTTTAGGCAAAAACAGAAATAAGTCTGTTGACATTTCAGTGTAGTTAAAACATACCTACATTTTGGTACATAGTTATATATTTTTACGTCAATGCGCTGATACACGAGTACACAGTCCCGGCTCTATCACGGAAACTTTTTTTTTCTCTTCTTGTATACATAATTATAATATCTTCTGATTCATTTCGTTGTGAGAACGAAGACAGTTATTCATTTCCCTGGGACGCGCCGGACTTCAGTGTTCCGGTGGTTTCATAGTTGTGTCTACTGTAGATCCTGCCTTACAGGAGTAGCAGCGGTTTTGGGAGGTTGTGGAGTGTGTTGTGTGTTCCAAACAAAAATCCCGCGTCTAGGTACTATAAAGTTTTGTTTACGGTTGGTACAAGGATCATGTAAAAGAAAAATAATTTGTAATAACACGAAATGATGTCGTCGTCGTCTTACAAAAAACAAATATTTTCCGTTAGGTTGGAAATTAAAAATGTGAAGTAAATTCATGCTAATTATAGTACCTACATATACATATATGTAGATGCCGCGGAGGATTTCACGGGTTGCCGGGGTTCTGGCTCGAAGGGCAGGTGTAGGAACGGGGTAATTTTTAGTCAGTAAGAGTAAGTCTGACACTCCCTCCCGCCTCACCCGGGAGAAGTCATTAGATGGTCTTCCCCCCTTAAAAAAAATAGTACACATAGATACCTAATAATAGATAGATAGCTACGATTATCTATCACAGTGTCAATATACACAGTAACTTACTCAATACTGACGTAACAACGAGCTATCGTCGTGCTTAGCAGATTTACTATTAAGTGCTATCGGTGATAATTATGTCATGAAAGTTCACTTAGCACTTACATTATAATGTTAGAACAAACATGTTGTGCCGTAGCCGTGTTGATATTGGTTGTGACGTTAAAGTCCGCCCATATTTCGAATAATTGTATGTTACCTATTTGTTTGTTTGTTCTATTTTTAGTTAAGGCATTGGTGGTCAGTCAAAATAGAAAATTTAACTTTTCATGTAATGACCGGTTGGGGGATGCTAGTGAAATTGACTGTCGCATCATAAATGTGTCAAAATCAAATAATTAATGTACCGATTAAATTAAAAAAACTATGACGGGTTAAGGCTATCACCAAAATGTTCACTAATCAGTCCATTACTTATTTTATTACATATGGACATAATAAACCTTGTGGCTTTCGCCTCCCGTTCTGTCCTCCTTATCGTCTGATATCGTCCATCCCATCCGTTGCCGTCCCATCATGCAATGACAGCCTCGTTGGCCGAGTGGTCGCAAGTGCGACTGCCGGGCAAGGGGTCTCGGGTTCGATTCCCGGGTCGGGCAAAGTACTACTGGGTTTAAAAAAAAATCTCAGTTGTAGTGCGGACTCTGGAATTGACCCGGTATATGGCAATAGGCTCACCCCCTATTACATAGGACTCATAACATAAATAACTAGTAAAAGTGGGTGTAACCTTGTACAGTGGTATTAAGTGCCGCAATGTGCCTTTGCCCATTCGGAGATAAAAGGCGTGATGTTATGTTATGTCTTCCACCCATGTTTTGGGTGAACAAATTAGTCATCAATCGTATCGATTCTTATTTTTGTTTATAGGGCATGAACCCTCTCTACGCGCGGTTGGTGCCCTTCGCAGCTGTGTGCGGTGCTAACTTCATCAATATCCCCATGATGAGGAGCAAGTAAGTTCATTATAAACATTTTTACAAGTTTATGTGTTTGGATTGGCCTATTTAGAATTTTCTTCAATTTTCAACGTCCATTTTGTGCGAAATGTGAGGATAGTGAAAATATGTGTTAGAAACTGGATACGCCTTTATACATATAGCTATTCTATCATGTTGCTTTCATCTTGCTAATATTTAAATTATGGGCAGACGGATCAATTGATGGTAAGCAGTCGGCGATGTGACGCCCATACTGGATACTCGCAACACCAACAAGTCTTTTAGGGATTGGGGTATGGGGATTTGGATGAGGGAAGGATTGTTGAGTACCTACAACTAGGACTGCTATGACCCTTTGCCATTAATTGATGTATGAATGAACGCCCATCATTGAACACTGTTATATTAATTTAATGTTTTATCGATTTTGTCGAGTCTCTGGACTTAATATAAAAAAATATTTGGTTCAAAAACCTTTGGCTCTAAAAGATTTCACTTTAGTATTGTGTACGCTTTTCTATTTTACAGTGAAATAATGAACGGTACGCCGGTATTCACCCCGGACGGTCAAAGGGTTGGAGACTCGAAGGTCGCGGCGGTGACTGGCATCCTTCTAGTCTGCGTATCTAGAGTGGGCATGGCACTACCTGGAATGAGTAAGTCAATTCTGGTTTTTAAACGAACATTTAGCCAGCTGGTCAGTAATTTATTCCAAACTAGCTTTTACCCGCGGCTTGGCTCGCGTCACAAAAGGATAAAAAGTACCCTATGTGACATATACCAATACACACAGCGCCATCTATACCAATAATTTCGTTTTCCCTCGAGAATATAATTTTTTCCGGGATAAAAAGTACCCTATCCAAACTTCTAACTTCACATCTGCAAAAATTCAAAGCAATCGATTTAGTAGTTACGGCGTGAAAGTGGAACAAACAAACAAACAAACAAACTCCCTTTCCGATTTATAATATTAGTAAGGATAGTAAGGATTTAGACTAGGGTCGATACAATTTGAAACCAAAAAAAATTACAGTTTGATGTAATCCATTAGAAAAGGAGAAATTAATTACGGTCGATTCGAGATCTGAAAGTGGGAGGGGGTGAGGCTTTTAAGGGTTAAAAATGGGTTATCTTGATTTCCGGAAAAAAGTACATGTCCTGTGGAAGTGGGAACTTCGAATCGACCGCAATTTATTCTTTTCGAAGGGAATTCATCATACTGTAATTTTTTTAACTTTTTACCATTTTTGAAGGCTCGTCTCTAGTCTAGTTGCACTATTATTTTTTAATTTGGATACCCTGGAAACTACCTAATTTTAGTAAGTGTGAGTCATAAATAATATTCATGATCTCCTTTTGAATTATTTCAGCCCTGGTGCCCATATTATCACAGATGGCAATCAAGAAGAAATTGTTCAGCGCGAGTTCGATGGCCATCATTCCCTTCCAGCTGTCCCTGGTGTGTCTTTGTGTCACGTTTGCCACGCCTCTCGGCTGCGCCTTCTTCGAACAGAAAGCTAACATCAGTATCCACTCTATTGAGGCACCCTTAAAGGTACGAAATTGTTATTTATTTTTTTATGATATAGGGGGCAAATCGGTCTTTGGGCCCACGGCTGCATAGAGTAGAGGACTCTTGGTGCCCATCCAGTGGTCATCAGGGAAGACGGTAGCACAGTCGTCACGTACTGCTATGCAAAGCGATGATCAAGGGACACGCACGTCTCCCTAGGGATGTGCTGTAACAGGCGTTGCACCATGAGGGCTCCGGAGCAGGTCACTTCAGAAGACCTGGTGCCCCTTATAGGTTTTAAGGGTAGCCACCGCCACACTCCCTAGTCTTTCTCTTAGGTTTACCCTGTCATCAAAAAAAAGGGGGGGGGGGGCAAATAGGAAGACGGACTACCGTATATTATATGAACAGGAACACCCGCAACACCAGAACAGTTACAAATGCGATGTAGAGGTTTTATTTCACTCACAAGGCAAAATACAACACATACGTTGTTTCACATCCGTTTTTTGTAAGGTGTCACTCCGTTCCAACCGACCGATTCATGTCGATAATGCATGGCTTTCCCACGTCTAAAATATCATCTTCTGCCCTCGTCCCCAGTAATATCTTCTTTTCTATATATTTTTATAACAACTATCGTAAGACATGCTGAATTAACTAAAAATTACGAGTTACTCACGTCATATACTGAGAAAAGGTTTACTAGTTTCGAGTCACAGAGGGCAGCAACAGCGCACGCATGAGGAAGAGTCCCTCATATTTACATGAGTAACTCGTAATTTTTACTTTTCCATATACCTAATATATCGTCTTCGTAGCCAAACGCCACTTTAGCGCTTGTCCACAGAGAGAGTAGAAAACTAAATGTATGGGGATGATACTAAGAAGTGTAAAAATATACGTCAATTCCATATAATTTAGTTTTCTACTCTACAAGTAGACAAGCGCTAAATGGCATTTGGCTACAGCTGCTGGTACGTTATATGTTCTTCCATTCTCCGCTATCAGATGTCACCACAACAAAACACAACATAACATAACATAACGTCACGCCTTTTATCCCCGAAGGGGTAGGCAGAGGTGCACATTATACCACTTTACAATGTAACACCCACTTTTCACTATTTATGTTATGAGTCCCATGTAATAGGGGGTGAGCCTATTGCCATATACCGGGCACAATTCCAGACTCCGTGCTACTACTGAGAATTTTTTTTTAAACCCAGTAATACTTTGCCCGACCCGGGAATCGAACCCGAGACCCCTTGCCCAGCAGTCGCACTTGCGACCACTCGGCCAACGAGGCAGTCACCACAACCTCCATTGTAAATGCGAAGTCAAATTACCATGGTGCCTGGCGACTGGGCTTCTCCCAGTTGTATAGTCTCTTTTTGTGCCTATCGGCTTAATTCATTGTCTTCTTAATAAATTTACAAGTGGAAACGTAGACAGATTTATTTCGTTGCGGGAACATGTCTCTGGGACGCGCCGGACTTCAGTGTTCCGGTGTTTTCATGGTTGTATCTACTGTAGATCCTGGCTTACAGGAGTTGCAGCGGTTTTGGGAGGCTGTGGCGGGCTTTTTTTTTAAAGTTAGTGTATTATAAATGTACAATCCAATTATCTTTGTTACAGGCAAAAGCTTTACAACTATCTCCAAAGACGGACACAGTGTTTTACAACAAGGGTTTGTAAGAATTGTAAGCAGCTTTAGAGATATACTTATAGTTCTTATTTGCTCTGATGGTTTTAGTAATGACGTTATGGGTCAGTGTCTCATATGATGTCATCCACTTTACGCAGGTTTTTATATCGTAAAGATGTATTCATTATTTGCGATTTATTTGAAATCGGCTGCAAAATGGGTAGGGATATTATGTCACATTCTCATGTAAACCTTAGTTTAACGGTGGGTGATATTATACTGGACATGAATTTTGAAAAAATCTACAGCAATAGTGTTTCAACACATTGTTATCTATTTCAATTATAATACATTATAATAATATGTATTATAAAGTTGTGTATATGAAATTATGAGCAAGATGGGTCTGCGCATTATAGGCAAGATGGTCCTAACCACTGAAATGTCTGTATATTTTTAATTTATAAAATTATAAATCGTTTCAATTTGTGCACCTAATCGATTTATTCTCGTACCTATATGGATTTTATCGATCAGTTTATCATCACCACATTTCTAGTGAAACTTCAATTCAAATGCCAAACGTCATTACAATACCCAACAGATCGTAATAAGACTATATATAGTGACTTATATTATGCTGGTAGTGTCCTCAGTACTTGTTCTGCAATGGAGTCGAAATATAAAAGCTTAATAGTCAAGTTCAGAAGACTTAGGAATTGTTTTAGCTACGATGCTAGCAAATAGCATAAACGATAGTCCACTAAAATACAAATGTCAATGTATGGGATTACCTACCTAGGTTTTGACATTATTTTTCTTGTCAATGTCAATCCTATTATTCTATACATTGACTTTGCTATTCTTTTTAATTTCAACTGCATTATTTTTGCTACTAGCATCATCCGCTGTGTTACTTAGACCAGGTGATAGAATCTCCCCACAGCGTTACCATTCCATTTGTTTACAAAGCTATGGTCGTAGAGTTAAACGTAAAATTGCAATTTAGAAATGTCAATTTTAGAAGTTATTAACATTAGGTTTGTTTTTGAATGACAAACTGTAATGGTCTATAGACATTGTTAGTTACTGAATCTGCATCTAATGACGTTGATGCGATCCCGAGTTCAAAATGATAATTATCTTGATAATTAAAATGTAGTTAAAGGTTTTTGTTCATGTTTTTTAAGAACTTTAAAACCATGTTATTACGCTTTTTTTTTATTATTTTCAATGTTAGATACTAAATTGTGTGGAATGGTCTAAGTCAGTTGGTATTAGGTACTTACGTTTATGCCAAGGATAGTTTGTCTAATGAGAGTATATCAGAGAAATGGTTATTTTTGAAAAATGCTATTTGTATGATAATTTTTAAGGCTACATGCGTTTTGTGTGGAAATGTAATAATGTCTAAATCGCCTTTTCTATTTTATGTTAGGCTTTAGACGCACTACGATTTTGTACTGTGGGCAATTTTATGCAAAAGTAACCGTGAAACCGTTATTGTTTACGCTATGATAAAAATTGCTTCCACAATGTTGCTTCTATATTACAATACTTATTGTTCCGACCTTTTTTGAAAGAGAAAAGCATCAAATGTCTCCTTGGGTTAGGCGAGATGGAGTGTCAGACTCTTCTAACCCCGTGCCTACTCTTGTTTCAAGCCGGAACCAAACTGATTCCGGCTTGAAACAAGAGTAGACACGGGGTTAGAAGAGTCTGATTAGTAGGCACGGATTCTGCTCTCCTCACGACCTTCCTTCCTGGCCATATTTATGGACTGACTGGGCGTAGTACAGTCTGACACGGTTTCCTATTGCCGATTTAACTTGATCCGAGGTCCTGGTACCTTCGTATTAAAAGCGAGGTTACGGAATATTTGTTATTTACCTAAGCTGTGGAATAATTCGGGTCTTGTTGCTATAAAATGCCTGCGGTTAATTATAGTGCGGCTTAACCTGTATACTATTAAAACCAAAAAGCATTGATATTGCTAATAATCGTTCGTCTATTATGAACGAAACTTGCACGAGCTTGTTACCAACAGTTGGTAGCAGAAGTATTGTTGTTTTTTTATTTTTGATATTTATATTTTATAATTTTATAATTGATATTTTATTTTTTATAATTTTATATTTTATATGTTATACTTATAATGGTTTTTTACGTTATATTTATATGATTTTGTAGGAAAATATGAAATATTTATACCTACCTACTTTTCTATTTTTTATTTCAAACAGGTCATTGTGTGTCTAAGCCAGGTCATATTTAATGAGCCTCAGAGTTCCGTTGTAAGATTTTCTTGAGCTTATTTCAGAATTATGAATAAATAAATAAAAATTTATAAGAGTAGAGAGAAAAGCCCAATATACATATATTCTGTTTGATATATTATTCCGATCTGATTTGTGAAGTAGGTTGTATCAAATGTAGCAATAATGTATAAACATTCCAAAGATATTCCGTATATCATATGTAATTGTTATGTATATTATATTTCTATATTGTGATGTCAATTCCCGTGACTACCACTGACAATAATGTTGTGACTTCTAGGTATAATGTTTAAAAATCGTTTCTATTTAAAAAGTTGTGTCTTATATCAATAAAGCAATTGTGAATGTGTTTTTATTGTTCCTAAAATGATTGGCTCGCTTTGTTTCTATTAAATTTGTATAATTGTTTGTAAATTAATTTTATATGATTATGTAATACATACAATCGTTATTAAGTAGGTAGATATACATAAAATTGTCCTAATAAACAATTAACTTGTTTTTCTTTTGTTTCCTTTTTTCTCTAAGAAAATTATTACCATCACAGATATATTAAAGAAGGAGATATGGTGTGATGTCAAAAATGTACGCAAAACCGGTGAAGCCCACAGATATATTAATGATTACCATATTTATTTGTGTAGCAACACACAGTGTGCCAATTCACACCTGCATGTTCTCGATTCGGAGTCGCGGAGAACCTAACGGGTTACCGGGGCTCCGGCTCGAAGTGCAGGAGAAGGAACGGGGTGGTTTTTAGTCAGTAAGAGTCTGACATTCCCTCCCGCCTCACCCAGGCTCGAGCAGTCATTCGATGATTTCCCCCTCTTAAAAAAACACCTACATGTTCTGGCGTAAGGCACCTGTTAGGCTATTCTGTACTTTTAATTCGTTAGATGGAAGTGAATACGATCGCGGTTCACCATATCATTGGCTGTCAGAATTATCTCGACCAATGACGGGCGAGGATGCGGTTGAGCTCGCAAAGAAAGTTCGAATTGACTGTTAGCTTTTTTAAGGGGAAAATCATCCGCCCGGGTGAGGGGAGAGAGTGGCAGACACTTACTGACTAAAATCCTACTCCTGCATTTCGAACCGGAGCCCTGGTAACCTTTTATAAAATAGCCTAGAAGTACAACGTCACGGATCTCTTCTTCCGTCATAAAGTCATTTTTATTCACTTTAAGAGAAAAAATTCTCATGGAGCCCCCTCGCCTAGCAAAGACGAAGGGGTTTCTTAAAAGAAAGTCCCTGCAAACGCAATCATAAACCGCATGGGATGTAGAGTATAAAAGATAGGCAGCCATCAGAACTGGTGATCCCTTAGTACGAGTTTTTTTTTACGTTTAACGAGATCGAAACGTTACAGCGTTCGCCGCTCTGATTGGCGGGCTGCAAATAACCAATGTCAAAAGGCTACACACCATAACATTTAAATCTCATGACTAAGCCCTCTGATGGCGTGGCGAAAACAAATAGTCGCCCCCACTGGGGAAAAACGAAACTGTACCTGGCTACTATAGAAGTATAGAGTTACACGGAGGACGTGTCATTTTATTAGGTCGTAACGTGGTAACTGGCATTTTGATGCTTCAATCATTTTTTTAACGTCTTTGGCCCCTCTATTGACTCAAACGCAGTAATAAAGATTTCTCAATTAATTCTTTTCCAAGTTAACACTTGGCCATAAAATAATTAAAATTATGCCAAGTTTACACTTAGCAAATAATTTAACAATTATTTTAATTACTACTTTCTGACTAAGAGCGAACAGTTATATTTTTTTATTATGAATACGTCTGTTACAGTATGGGTAAATGACAGGTAACTAACGAAACGTATTTTTTTCCATTCGCCCTTCAGTGGGCAAGCGCAAACCAAGCGTATCATGTATGCTTGCATATAATAATTTTGATATGATCAATCGATATTTGATTGCAATTATTCATAGTGCACTTTGTGTCCATAGTCTCACGGATTCCATGCATAGTCTAAAGAAAAACAATAATATGCACCTCCTTCTAACATCTATGATTAAAAATAACAGACGTCACTTTTGTAAATAGAATTACTTTTAGAGAAATTATCAGAGTATTTACAAAATTAAACCATGGAAATAACGGATTTATTTATTTTGTAAATAACATTTTAACCTGGATTGCTGAATTTTACTTTGTAAACATCACCTAACTAGGTAAGTACTTGTATAGTTTGTTATTCTTCATAAACTTGGGTCATTGTGATCTCTTAACGCATCTGTCATTAGTTTCTTGAAGTACGGGTCGAGTTTATTGCCAAACTTAGAATCAGGGTGCTCTTGAAACTCTTGAAACCAATCTCAATGTCAATGCAATTTCAATCGAATAAAATCTCAATAATTATTTAATGTGAACACTATATAACCACAATCGCGGCTGTTACAATAGCATTCAGAGTACGGGATATAAAAACATACTTAATACCATTTAGTTCATTAAATATCCACACAATACGGATGCAATGGGCGCTAGTGTTGTAACTCAAGAGTACACATTTTCGCAAAACCAATGTCGATCGATCGGAATTGGATTTAAGAGTAAGCCAGCTGTTCCAAGTTTCCCATGATAATCCTAAGATTTCACATTGAATACCTATTTACCACAAAAATATACCGCTTTCAGACTTTATTTATTATTTTCAGTAGTAGAATCATGTATGTACTATAGTATTAACTGTAAAATGAACTGCCTTGAAATAAAAGCTATTTTTCTTCGCAGCGCACAAAGCAATGGCTAAACCTATAGATATAGATAAACCAAAATGGGACCAGAGTACATACGCGGGCCGTGCCAAACATTTTTTACTTCTCACCAATCCGATAAACTGCTTAGCTAGTGATGAGGACTTGGATATGGCTAAAAGGGCTCTTGACGAATACAGGTTCGTTTACCATATTTACTGAAATGAATTTTTCTCTTCACCTCCTTCGAGTGGAATATATTTTGTGCCAGTGCCAACTATCTATACTTTTATATTGTCAATATCGGTTCGAAGAGAATTCGGTGGGGATAATTATTGAGCCTCTGGTAACCTTACTTACACCGCGAAATAGCGCAAGCGTTGTTTCAAAATGATTTACTGTGCGGCCGTCCGTGATATCGTGGTCGAAGTTTGGCTCTCCCACTCGATGAGTGATTACAGTAGGCTTCAATAAAGTTTTTTTTTAGGAAAACAAAAGCAATGCCGCATGGTTACAATGAGGATAAATTATGGGCAGCTAAATACTTGTACGACAGTGCATTTCATCCCGACACAGGCGAGAAGATGCTTAGAGTCGGTCGTATGTCTGCACAGGTGCCTATGAATACACTGATCACAGGGTGTAAGTACGTTACTGCAGTAATCAAGCAAATTTTTAATTTATTATCTAAGGTTATAAAGTATATTCGATCGGGCTGTGGTTCCTTTTGATCACACTACGTAGCATTCGCATTAATATGAGTGTTAAATCCATGTCTCCATTTTACCCTATAAATTGAGGGGGCTTTGGAGTCATCGGAAGACTTATTTTTCGAAGAAGAACGAGAACTTTGTTTTGAACTCTCGACAGATTTGATTTACTTAATTGATTAATTATTTGAAATTGTTATTGTTTTTACAATAGTTTTACTTTTTGTCAGGTATGATCACTTTCTATAAAACAAGACCAGCCATCATCTTTTGGCAATGGTTCAATCAGACGTTTAACGCCATGGTTAATTACACTAATCGCTCAGGAGACGCAGTTATCACTACGAAGTAAGATTCTACTTCTACTTCTTAAGTTTAACGAGACATATTTTACCAGAAAGAGCACGATGTGGCGTCAAGATAATTGGATAAAACCTAATTTGTTTCTTTTTGCAATGGCAGGCAGTTGTTGGCATCCTATTGCGCAGCCTGTAGTGGTGCTCTAACTACAGCTTTGTACCTAAACAGTAAAGTTAAGGTAGGAGTTAACCATACTAAGAATTGGGCGTAAAACATGGAATAGGGTTTCACTAATAGTATAATTTATAGGGCATGAATCCAGTGTTCGCGCGGTTGGTACCCTTCGCAGCTGTGTGCGGCGCTAACTTCATCAATATCCCTATGATGAGGAGCACGTTAGTACTTTGTTTACTTATTAGAAAGTTTACCATAATATCACTCTTGGTAGGCCGCGTGGGAGCTACAGTTATTTAGACAATGCGGCTGTACATCACTCAATCGCAGTTTTTGACATACCTGAAATCAGTTTCCCGAACTTCTAATAATGTTGAACTAACCTCTATAAAGGTTTTGAGTTCTCTTTCACAAGGCGATCATTATTTTTCATGTTTCATTGGTAATATAGAGAATTAGAACGACGTACATTTATTTACAGTGAGCTAATAAACGGCACGCCTGTATTTGCACCAGAGGGTCAGAGAGTCGGTGACTCTAAGATCGCTGCACGCACAGGGATTTTTCTCGTATGCATATCTCGAGTGGCGATGGCACTTCCTGGAATGAGTAAGTAAATGTAGTCAATAAAACTTTATTATTCATCATAATTTCCATCCATACTGGCTTTGTTGAGGTTGCTCGTCCTAAACAGAAAGCTAAGGCTGAGCCCGAGGCAATATCAATATGCTCCTGTGGCTAGAGCTATTAAAATAATTAACAGCGTTGGATAATAAATAGATATTTTCAGTTGCTCATTGGCGGAGTTCATAAATGTAGCGACTGATTTAGTTTTACTCGATGTATAACTTCAATTAATGTGGCTGTGTTAATACAATGTTGTTATAAGTTTTTATATTGAGTGACAACATTATCGCATTGGGTGTAACCTGTTAGGATGTGTTCATGTGTTGTGTGTGTATATCATGTTTGCTACTGACAAAGGTCTTACAAATCTTTAAAAAGACTTTACTAAATAATCACCATGATTGATGATTGATTAGGTTTTTGTTTATTGAATTAGCAGGTAAACGAGCAGACGGATCACCTGATGGTAAGCAATCGGCGTCGCCCATGGACACCTGAAACACCAGATGCATTACAAGTGTGTTATCGGCCTTTTACGGATTAGGAATTTGAAGATTGTTAGGGATTCGGGAATTGGGGAGATTGGGGAGAGAGGTAATTGGGCCTCCGGTAACCTCACTCTCAACATAAGATGAAACACAACGCTTTGGTTGTTTTATGTCGGTTTTCTGTGAGGCCGTGGTATTACACCGGTCGAGCTGGCTCATTCGTGCTGAAGCATAGCTCTCTCATACTTAAAATTACCGAAAATTGTGATGATGCTGCTACTCAACCCGTGCGGATTCCGGTTTTAGTTCACCGTCAAATATCAAATAACTCGTGACAGTCCCCTGCTATTATATGAGCTTCCTGTACCTATGACGATTTTGTCTTACTTTTATTTTAGAACATAATTTTATGTATCCTCGTCTAGTAAAAAGAGAAAAAAGTATGTCTTTTTTTGCAGCTTTTGTCCCGATTATAACGAACACGGCAGTACAAAAAGGTTTATTCTGCCACTACCCACTGGCCGTAATACCATTTCAATTAGCTCTTGTATGTTTTTGTGCCGCCTTCGCCACACCACTCGGATGCGCTTTTTTCGAACAGAAAGCTAATTTGAGTATTGATGCTGTAGAAAAAGAAATAAGGGTAACTAAATTGTATTTTTTAAAGCTATTTTAACTCAGACTATTGTTTTTCTTGTTATAAGTGAGACTACTCAGTACTCTCGTGAGACGTACTATAAATTAATCATGTTAGAAGCTTAATCATTTAACTGTCTGACGAGATAATTTGATTAGTTTCGAACCATGATAAGGGCTCATATTCACGAGCAGCGCTTTCCATAAAGACATGACGCGGTGAAAATTTTGTAAAATAAAACGCTTTTAAGTAATAAGTATTTCAAATCAATTATTTATTTTTCAGGAAGTTGCAATTAAAGTATCACCAAAGGCAAAAACAGTTTATTACAACAAAGGTTTGTGACGAGTAAATCAGTACAATTCATAATTTTACCAAGTTGGTGTGTTGCTGCAAACTACTTAGTGGTACTTGCCCATAGACTACGTGGGTCGCGCTGGTACTCTTTTTACGAAGACCAGCAACGTTTTTTCTTGTCTATACCAAAAGAGCAAGTTGTCACTCGTGCCTTGTTTATGGGACAAGGATGTCAAGGTTGCGAGTAGAAACTTTATACTGGAATTAATAGGTATACCTATTATGTGCTATGTTGCCTACCTTTAATGACCTTTGTGTTAGAATCGGTTTACACAATCAACTCTTAAGCATTTATTTCACCCTTAATAAATTAAGTTTTTAATAATTACTTTTGTAGAACTTTTAAATATACTTTACACTTTTTTCTTTGTAAGGGTTTTGAAAACTTGTTATGTAAATTTTTATTTACATTAGGTCCGGTCATGGATTGGCTGTATTGTGGTTTTATTTTAACATGGGCTCTATTGATTATTTAGCGAGCCAGTGGCGGCCTCTGAGGTGCAAAGGTTTTTGTTAGCCACTCGGGCCCTAGGGCAGCTGGGTGCGGCCCGTCTAAAGTCAAATTCTAATATTCGAAAATAAATAACAAATGAAATTAACTCCGTTTTTCGAAGTTTTTGGCCAACAATATGGCGTTTATTGCAGGGCTGTACGAGTATGAAGTTTATATTTCGTCAAATAAAATGTTATAGGTATATATTTTAATTACTAAACTCACAATGCCTATATCCATTCAAAGTCTATATACTTACACAGTTTCTCTGATTTTTTAAAACATGCAATTATGTAGTCGACTAATGTATATTAGTTACTTTAATGGTGCTTCAGTGTTTTGAGAAAAATAAATATTTTTTTTAGTTAAAAGTCGTTGTTTTAATGTACAGTAGGTACTATTCACTATAATTTCATGGCGCGTCATAGACGCTGTCTCCATGAGTGATAATTGTAACGACCCCTCACTTGTATCGTCGGGTAATCTTCATGAATACCAAACGGCGTATAGTCCACGCCTCCTGACAGAATCGCAGCGAATCCGTCACGACTTGTAAGTTGTAATGGATACCCGAAACGTCAAATATCGTTGAAATTCATGTAAATAAGAATGAGAGCTCAATATGAAATGTAGTAAAATAATATTAATTTTATTGAAATTGCCCTCCTTTTGATGCAGTCAAATAAAAAAAAGGAAATACAAAAACGCAGCAAATATGCAACAGCTGTGTGCTGTGCTAGTTTCTTCTACAGTGCGTAATGTGCTACGGCGCAGAGCATACACAAATAACTACTACGGCGTAGAGCTTAGACAGATCTGCTACGGCGTAGCAGTTGTTACTACTGTTATTGCACTACGAATATTATAGTCACCGCACCGATTGAGATTTCACTTGATCACATAAATTAAGCATAATATTATATTCATTTTAAGCTTTTTATCATTTCATTTACATTTTTCATCCTTTTTAACCGACTTCCCAAAAAGGAGGAGGTTATCAATTCGGCTATATGTTTTTTTTTGCGTGTATCTTTCCACCAGTTCAGGATCTGATGATGACATCCACATCCCATGGAAACCGAGGGAATCTTTTCAAAATTGTATGGGTGGCGAGAACGTTTGTTAATTTTTTGATATAGTATTTGAAACCACTACAATTTAATGAAGGTATGGAGTTGATCTGATGCTGGAGTCAAGAGACAGCCGAGGGAACTCCTCGAGGATTTGTAGCAATGACCCCTTATTTAGCTAATTATTTGTATTGAGAAGAGAATGTAAAGATTTACATCGAGATGAGATGTAATTGTCATTAGGGGCCTGATAATGAAGTAGAATGATAGCTAAGGGAACTTCTCAACGGTTAACAGTAGCTACCTGGTGTTTGGGCTTGATTAATTTGTATTGATGAGAACTTTACACCTAAATGGGGTATAACTGTCATTAGGGGCCTGATGATGAAGGAGTATGATAGCTAAGGGAACTCCTCAACGGCTAACAGTAGCCACTTGGTGTTTGGGATTTATTATTTTGTTTTGATGAGAGTTTTACACCTGTATGGGGTGTGATTATCATTAAGAGCCTGATGATGAAGTAGTACTATAACTAAAGGAACTCCTAAACTGTTAATAGCTACTCTTAACCGTTTACCTGGTGTTTGAGCTTGAATAATTCGTAATGATGAGAACTTTGCACCCATGTGGGATATATTCAGGTGTCAACACTGATATAGCACGCTGAAAACTTATTGATACTTGAAATTTTGATAAAAAAACATATTTGTAATAAATAAAAAAACCAATCATTATGCCTTGACTAAACTAAAAAGCAAAAAATAACTATTATTAATCATGCGTACTTATAGGTTACCCACCCACTGATGTCGCGGAGAACCTAACGGGTAACCGGGGCTCCGGCTCGACGTGCAGGAGAAGGAACGGAGTGGTTTTTAGTCAGTAAAAGTCTGACACTCCCTTCCGCCTCACCCAGGCGGGAGCAGTCATTCGATGATTTTCCCCCGTTAAAAAAAACCCACCCACTGATAGGTTAGAAGTCGGTCTCATCCTTTTTATTAACAATATTATTGGTACTTTACCATGAACGGGACCACAGGGTCCCGGTCATATAAGAGGCGTACGTGGTGCCGAAGCCAACTGCACAGAGGCCCTACAACTTTAATCTAAATGTAATGCATACCTACACAAACCGGTGACTATCCCTATATGCACTATGGAAATGCACCAAACTTCAGGCCCAGGTTAGTGTACAACTATTGTAGATATGGAAAAAAAGGTAGGGCTATGGATGCGTTGCTGTAAACCAGTAAATTAGGAACTATAGTCTATAGATGACTATGGCACCTGCCAAAACAATCTAATTATAACACGTAAAATGGCAGGCGGAGACTCGGCAACTCACCGACCGGGTCCCGGGAATGGTTGCTAGATATAGCAAAAGAGGGACAACGGAAATGTGAGTGGCTGAGACGTTAAGAGACTAGCACCGCTTTCTACTCAGATCATCTGCTCCAGCCGAAGCCTCCTGCAGCCCTGGCCCACTCGCGACTTACGAATCGTTTCTAACCCTTCGAGTAGGATCACTGCACTCACACAGCAGATTTAATCATTGTTCAAGCCCGTGCATGTAACTACTGGTAGATACCAACTGTGTTCCTGCATGAGCCTCTGTCGCGTCGCATATCCCACGAAGGTGGGACGTATGTGTAAGGTTGAGTCGGACTGCGCCGTAGCACTTTTATGGGACCGCGTTTGCATGTGATTAAGGTCTTAATACTTATAGGTGATGCTGACTAACTATTCAAAATTCATAAGAACGTACAAGCAAGTTACGTCTTATGATTGTGAGTATGATTAAGCAAAAAGACAAAGTATTAAATAGAAAAAACACATTTGTAAGCTATGGCTTAATCATAAACAAAAACATCAAGCTGTCACTGTCGCAATATTTCTTTGTCAAGCGTAAAATGTCAAATAAATCAAAATGCTTGGAACAGTGATTGCTTACAAAATGCATTATTTTTTATAAACTATGAAATAAATACATCATAATGTACAACCTTAAGGCGTGTGTGGTGTGTTTTAGCGCTAATGTTAAATTAATAAGTTTGAACAGTTGTAAATTACGACAAGAATTCCAATTAATTTCTGGCATCAAGGTATGCATTGTTTATTTCCGCTACGGTCATCAAAATAATACGAATATTGTCGTTAAATATTCCGCTGGGTATAATTGAATTATTTTTCCATTTACAGACGCGCGTCGAGGGTGGTATGCCGGATTATTTATGCTTCCAATGCGTAGCACTTGTGAGAAAATTCGTAAAGTTTAGGAGTAGATGCCAACGTGCTCATTATGCTTTAAAAGAAATTTTAAACAGAAATAATGAGGTAGATGGCGAGTACTTATGATTACCTGCAAATTAAATGGTTTTACCGCTAAGGGTAATGTTTAAAAATCCTTTTTTCTGCATTACAGATTAACGAAACAAATCTTTCAAATTTAGATCGTAACCTCCTTGATATAATGCCGCCTCTTTCCTTTATGAGTCCAGATAAGCCGCGCTATGAACAAGTAAAATTCCAATGGAAAAAACAAAACCGCATTGACTGGTGTAACACTGCCAAAACTGATATTCATATAGTTCATTGCAGTACACTCACTGCTGATGACACTTTCAATGAAGTCACCAACACAGAGGTTTTAGAATTCACTGAAGATAAAATTAAAAGAGATATTGAGGATGTAGTACAGGAACAAATAAATGTAGAGTATGATGTACCGAAAAATGAGTCGCAAAGTTTTGAAAATAATGCTACCGAGGATGCTGATATGGCTGAATCGTTCTTGGACAATGATCAAATAGGCAGTGATAATGAGCAAGATATTACGAATTTGTCCCTGTTCAAAGTTGAGAGTACCGAAGTGGATGGTAGTGCGATGGATGAAGAGTATGCTACTTTAATCCCAATATCCGTTAAAGAGGCTAAGGCCGTAATAGAGGTATACAAGATGTTCACTCAGGGTAAATATCATTGTAAAATATGCAATAAAGCCTATAACAATGAGGAACGGATGAATGTACATTTACGTATGCATGATAAGGTTAGTACTTTAAAAATGTACTTAAGAATTTATGGCATAAGCCAGTAAACGAGCAGACGGATCACCTGATGGTAAGCAATCCGTGTTGCCTATGGACATCTGAAACACCAAGGCATTACAAGTGCGTAACTGGCCTTTTGGGAATCGGGAAATTGACGATTGTGGAGGATTTGGGAATTTGGGAGACTGGGTAATGGGCCTCTGGTAGCCTCACTCATATAACGAAATACAACGCAAGCGTTGTTTCACGTCGGTTTTCTGTGAGGCTGTGGTCGAGCCGGCTTATTCTTGCCGAAGCAAGGGTTTCCCACATTTGAATAAGGCATTCAAGTCACAAATTGTAATTTCTCTTTACTTAATAGTTCTGCTATCTAAACGAGATTACTTTTCCTTACTTTCAGCACGTGAGTGGTAACTACCATTGTGGACTTTGTCGATATTACTATAAGACTGAGTTTCTATTGAAAACTCATATGACTGAAAAACATCTGTACAAATACATTTGTAGGAAATGCCCTGAAGTCAGCTTTGATAGGTAAGTTATTAACTAAACTGTATTAGTTAATTTCATTGTAACTGACTAACTTCTCCCGGCGGTTTCACCTGCGTTCCCACGGGCTAAACATATATTATAACCATAATCTACCCCTGTTCCAAATTTCATCGCACTGCCTTCAGCAGTTTTGACATGAAGGAGTAACAAACAAACATGCATACCATCTTTCACATTTATAATATTAAGTAGGATTTAAAGGTGTATTATAATTATATTATTTTTAATTTATCCCTAGTCCATTATCCAGAAGTACAAATCTAATCTTTTAGCATCAAAGTACAATAAAAGTTTATTTAACACTAAAATAATATGAACTAAAAATAATATTAAACTAATTTAACATGTTAAATGCGATGGGGGTCCCCGGTGACCAATGATAGCGGAGGATTTGCCTTCACCAATTTACTATTAGCAGTTCAATTTTTCTTTTTAATTTGTATTCAAAAATTCCAGAACATCAGCAAAACAGCACTACATATGGGCACATTTACAAAACGGTAGCAAAAAGGATGCCAACTGGTACGAATCTAGACCGAAGTGGATTAAAACTAGGGGAGGGAGAAGGGTGAAAGGTGTGGTTACTTTAAAACCAGTGAGGAAAATCAGTAAATTGCCCGAAGACTTCCTCATTTACTCTCCCATCGGTCACGAAGAACAGTACACACTTGTAAAGGAACGCCAAAAGTCACGAAACTATCAGGAAGCGAAATATCAATGTCATTTGTGCTATAGAGGGTTCAGACTACTACGGACTTATAATAAGCATATGAATAAACATGATCCTGTAAGTAAAGGGTTTAGAACTATTTTAATTTTTTTTTTCTCAGTATACGAGCAGATGGATCACCTGATGGTAAGCAACCGGCCCATAGACACCCGAAAGTGGTGTTACCGAGATTGGGGAGGGGTGGGGGGTAATTGGGTCTCCGGTAACCTCACTCACACCTTTTTTTCTGTAAGGCCGTGGTATAACTCCGGTTGAGGCGGCCCATTCATGCCGAAGCATAGCTCTCCCACACTGCCCCACACTACGATTTTGTCCTTTCTCGTGGGTTTTTCCATAAACATTGCACCAAAACCACGAACAACAATTTGTGGGTCACACAAAAGAGTTCTTTGTTCCGAATTAGCTACTTCCGCGCAGTTTCACTCGCTCTGCTCGGCGCCTATTAATCGTAGCGTGATGTTTTATTGCCTATAGCCTTCCTCGATAAATGGGCTATCCAACACAAAAAGAATTTTTCAAATCGGACCCGTAGTTTCGGAGTTTAGCGCGTTTAAACAAACAAACAAACTCTTCCGATTTATATAATAGTATAAGATATCTAGAGACCACTAAAACAATGCTCATACATTCGTGTGAGTAAAGGCCTTTCCTCGTCAGCGGAAACTTATAGGCTGGTGTTGATGTTTAGTACATACATTCCAGGCCCACGCCGGTCCACTACAGTGCGACATCTGCAAACTCCACTTCAAAGACCAAAGGAAGCTCTACAAACATATGAACATCACCCATCTCTTCAAGTATTCCTGTCAGCTCTGCAGCTTCTTTTGTTGTAATAGGTATTTATTTATTTTTTCTCTCGGGTCATTAAAAATGGCTAATGCCCGAATACTGAAAGGTTACTCAATTTTAAGTCATACTTAAATATATCATGCCATCTTTGTCATTTTAAAACAATTTGTTGTGTGTGACACAACTATACTCCAGCGTGACTTAAAATTGAGTAGCGTTTGAGTATTTCGACATAAGTAGTTAGTAATGGTAACTTTGACTTTATTAAAAAACTAAATTACAGATTAGTATAAAAGGATGATCACTAACCAAGATCTGTACATATACCAAAATCTATTAAAACCAAAATATAAAAGAATAGACCAGTCTAACTGGAATTCAATAAGGAGGCCTATGTTCTGCAGTGGACGTCTTATGGCTGACATGATGATGATAATCTACCTCCACTGCTCAATTATTTTTGTTTTCGTTTCATAGAAAGGGTTGGCCATAACCATAATTATTTATGTTAATTTTTATTATATTATTACCAAACGGGTTATTAAAAAAATTCTCAGTAGTAGCATGGAATATAGAACTGCCGGTATATGGCAATAGGCTCACCCCCTATTACATGGGACTCATAACATAAATAGTGAAATGAAAAGAGAGTGTTACATTGCCCAGTGCCATTAAGTTTCGTTTGTAATGTGCACCTCTGCCTACCCCCTCAGGGATAAAAGGCGTGATGTTATATTATGGTTGGTTACTATACTATGATCTCTTAATATAAAATAAATTGACATTATAATCAATGGCGTTGAAACTGTTATATTTTTAATTTACAGAGGTCAAGCGCACATGCATTATAGATGGCACAAAAATGTCACTTACGAATGTCCTCATTGCAAGAAGAAATTCATGTAAGTCTAGCTATTGTAATATTTTATTATGTACTAGCTACTCCCCGTTGCGGGTTTAGCCACTGGTCGGCGCCTATTGATCGTATCGTGATGTTTTATAGCATTCCCTGAAAAATGGACCATAGAACGCTAAAATATTTTTTCAAATCGAAGCAGCAGTTCCGAAGATTAGTTCGTTCAAATTAATAAAGGAACTCTTTAGCGTTATAGATTGCGTCCATGTTACGGAACGCCTTTAAAAATTCCAGAAAATAAGAAAAATATCACAATGTAAAGTAGCATTTAGTACTCATCTGTTTATCCTTTCCACATTCATGGCAATCCGAAAAATTGACGCGACCAGTGGGTGGGTGAACGCGAATAGACGAACTTTATTAGGGTCGACGCGAACAGGTGATTTTACCGTGCTAATCTATATTAAGTATAGATTACACGATGAACACAATCTCTACGATTTCCTTAAAAACGGAGATAATGAAAACTTTTCATACTTAACAGGCACAACAAAAAAGACTCGAATAACTCTGATCAGTGCAAAAAGTTTCCTTAAATGACAATTAATAAAGCATATTATTGTATATTACAGGAAAGCGTCAACACGTCTCACTCACATACGAATAAAACATCCGTCCATGTGTTTGTGCACTATTTGCGGGCACAGTTTTGTAAGCGATTCTGGACTCTATTGTCATAAGCAAATTGCACATACTGAAGAGGTAAGATAATTCAACTATGTTTTAATCTTAATCAAACTCAACAGCCTTGTTTATTTTAAAAATGAAAAACATAATAATGTGGAAATGTATTCTATCCCAGTAACCTTAGAGTTAGAAATTAAAAAGCAGCGAATATTGACTTTGTAATTTTAAAGAACAATGAAACAAACAAATATATTTGAGGCAGCGAGCTGTGGAGACGGCTCGCAATCTCTCTGAAGGATAGAATCCTTAACAAAGTGGTCTGACAGAGAATTAAAGTTACCAACGTAGCCTAATGGATTAGAATGGAATGGATGGAAATGGATTACAAAGCAAGCTAAAATGAAAGCTAAAAGCTCACATTTATCGAAGAACCGATAACGTGTTCTGGACTAGAGACTGGACGAACGAAGGGCACTCTCCAGTTAGGTGGAGTGACGATATCCGCAAGGTGGCTGGTAGCGGTTGGATGCGTAAAGCTAAAGATTTGACTTAGTGGCTTGTGAGAGGCTTATGTCCAATAATGAACGAGGAACACCCTGTTGGTGATGATGAAACAGATAGTTGTAAATATTAATAGTTTAAAAGTACAGTTGGTGCGGCAACCGGCTGCCGTGCAACGAGTCGAGGGTTCGATTCCCGCACGGAACAACACTTTGTGTGATCCACAAATTGTTGTTTCGGGTCTGGGTGTCATGTGTATATGAACTTGTATGTTTGTGAACGCACCCACGACACAAGAGAAAATCCTAGTGCGTTTTTTTTTAAAGAAAATAGTTTAATAGTATTTATTGTAACGATTACAGGAGATAGAGCAGAGTAACAAGATGGTAGTGAACACATCGGACCCGCACTACTGCCACGACTGCGAGATACAGTTCATGTCATTCGCAGCATTCAACACTCATCTCGGCAGCTCATACAAACATGCTACTACTAACCTGTGAGTTTCTTTATTACAAATCTCCTTAAAAATCATTATCGGTAACGAACCATGTAATATAATGTATTAGGTAATCTGATTTACACACACTTCTTGTTGTAATATCATCATGAAAATTAGCAATTGTATCCGTAATTGTAATGTAATTGTAAGCCTCCAGTAATAATAATTATTCACATGGCGTGAGAGCACTTTGGTTTTTCTATAAAGTCATGTCATCACTCCGGTCGAGCCGGCCCAGTGCTATGAGCCAAATGCCAAATGTACGGGTATGAAACAGCAGTTTTGTGTTAAAATTTACATCAATCACATATATTGAGTTTTCTACTCTTTCTTGAGATTCTCTCGGTGGGAGGTGTAATAGTTGTAATGTTTCCAGTTCGATAAAGCCGCAGCGGCGGTCGAAGACGGAGGAGTCCCGGCCGCGCGGCCGGCCGCGGCGCGGGGCATGCTCCGAGATCGTCAACAACGGACTCACCACCTCTAGCACTTGCGAAGTCGTATGTATTTATGTTTTATTTAGATTTTAGAATTGGTCCTATACATTTATTCAACATATTCTGAAATTACATTTTAAATACTACTTTTTAAAAAAAATATATATTTTATACTAATCCATATATTTATTTAAAATTCTCTATAAATTACATTTTTAAATACTACTTACAAAATAAAAAATAATATTTAAAAATATAAAACACAGGAGCCGACCAGTAGCGGGAGCATGGTCCAAGCTACCGGTGGTTAGGGCTCCAGAGACAGAAACCTCCTCACGATACGTGGCCTTTCTAGGAGAACTGCCTTCTGTATCAGGCCCTTGATCATCTAACGCCAGCCTCCTTAGATGGATGTCGAGGCTTTTAGGGATTAACCCATTGGCCGATATACTAATTATTATTAACAGTCTGAAAATTCAAGTAGTAGTTTATTTTACACAACTTTAAGTTTGTCCCTTAAAATTAAATCCAGTCATCTAATATCCGATGTGTATATTATAGATCCATTCTATTAGTCATATCTATTCTGTAAATGTAATAATAATAATGTGTTTGTCTGTCAGTGCGGCAAGTTCCTGTGTAACGACGTCCAAGCCCGCAAGCACTACGAGGCCGAGCACCCCGACACCGAGTACCTCAAGCGGTACATGTGTGACGTCTGTGGACACACCACCCGGGTACGAACCCAACACCTTACTATATTTACTCACTATTACTCAATACATATAACCTACCTCAATCCTAAATCTGTGGATTGCTACTTTCTTTGATTGTTTTTGGCCGCCATTTTTCCAAGATGGCAAAATCTACAAAATTTCCAGTTTTCAAAACTCCTAGTAACATTCTAGGTTCTACTGAATGATTGAACTAATTGATTTTAACAGAAATTCCTTACATACAAGTAAAAATCAATCCTTCTCCACAGATTTTCGATTGAGATAGGTTATCAATATTAAGCTTAAAATGTTTATTTTGTAATACAATAATACATAGGTAACTAGAATTTTATTTTTACACGTGAATGAGCCATACATTATCGGCATTAATCGGCCGGAGTGGCATCATAGCCTTACAGATAACCGGTGTGAAACAACGCTTGAATGTGTTTGAGTGAAGTTGCCAGAGGCCGTCCCAATCCTCAAATTTCTACCCCCAAAAGTGCTCCGATTGTTTACCATCAGGTGATCGCGTGCTCCTTTGCCGCCGTATCTCATAAAAAAACTGTCTAGATTATATATTACTAGCTTTTACCCGCGGCTTCGCATCACAAAAAGATAAAAATCCTATGTGACATATGCTAATACACACAGCGCCATCTATACCAATAATTTCGTTTTCCCTCGAGAATACCAAATTTTCCGGGATAAAAAGTACCCTATTATTTAATCCAGACTTCTAACTTTACGTCTGCAAAAATTCAAAGCAATCGGTTCAGTAGTTACGGCGTTAAAGCGGAACAAACAAACAAACTCACTTTCTGATTTATAATATTATAACACATAACATAACATCACGTCTTTTATCCCCGAAGGGGTAGGCAGAGGTGCACATTATGCCACTGTACAATGTAACACCCACTTTTCACTATTTATGTTATGAGTCCCATGTAATAGGTGGTGAGCCTATTGCCATATACTGGACACATTTCCAGACTCCGTGCTACTACTACGATTTAAAAACCCAGTAATACTTTGCCCGACCCGGGGATCGAACCCTCTCGGCCAACGAGGCAGTATAATATTATAAGTAAGGATTAATTTAGGAATCATATTTTTTGTTTGTGTTTCCAGCAATACGCGAACCTGATAGTGCACATGCGTACACATACGAACGAGAAACCGTACGGCTGTCCACACTGCGACCGACGGTTCAACATGCCCAGCAACCGGGACAGACATCTTGTTGTAAGTTACTCACTTATATAGCCTACTAGCTCCTACCACACTGCTTCACCCGCTCTGCTCGGCTCCTATTGATCGTAGCGTGATGTTTTATAGCGGTAGCCTATGGCGTTCTTCGATAAATATCTAATATTTTTTTACATCATATCAGTACTTCCTGAGATTAGCGCGTTTAGACGTTATTCGTAACGAGTACGCGTTCGGCGCTGTGATTGGCCGGCGCCAATGAACCAACCAATCAGAGCGCCGAACGCGTTTGGAACAATACAATCGTTTAGATACATTTAACATCTTTTATTCTATTTTACCCAACATCATCTAAAGTAGTGTGTGATCAAGCAAGAGATCATACAGACTATAGGCTATGAAACATCACAGTATGATCAATAGTAGCCGAGAAGCGAGTGACACTGAGAAGGAGGAACAGGTGATAATATTATAAGTCTCCAAATAAAAGTCGTTGTTGACTGATCGAGCTGTAATGTTAATAAATAGTATGTTTGTAAATTGACCCATGAATTCCTCGCAGAAGAAAATATTAAGGGCGGATTTTTAATCATCAGTTAATTCTTAACTTAGTATGGAAGAATTGTCAATTGTTCAAAATTATACCTCAGTTAACTCGTCGAGTACCGGTTTTATAGACACAATTAAAGAACAATAGGTCGCGGTCACCGGTGACCGCTTGATGTTTGACAGTTTAAAATTTATATGTCGTTGGTAAAATCGGCTCTTATGTGTGGTGCCTAAGAAGAAGGTATTCTTAACTCGTCGAGTACCGTATTTATAGACACAATTAAAGAACAATAGGTTGCGGTCACCGGTGACCGCTTGGTGTTTGACAGTTTAAGAAATTGTATGTAAATTATAATTTCAGGTGCATACAGGAGAGAAACGGTACCAGTGCCAGCACTGCAACCGTCGGTTCACGCAGAGCTCGGCCGTCAAACTCCACATACAGACCGTGCACCTCAAGATACCTTACGCGCCCTGGAACAAGAAGAATAGGAAGCGACGCAAGGTGCAAACATATATACATTCTCTTTTTAACTCACGTCAAAAATAAGGAAATTCACAGTGTTCCGCGTGTCCATGGGCGATACTGATTGCTTACCATCAGTTGACTCGTCTGCACATTTACCGGCTTATCCCTTAGAAAATCCGATTAAGATGTGGTTTTCAGAAGTGTTTGTAACTTTTAGGTTTTTGTATATTAACTAACTTTATTACTAACCGACTTTCAACAAAATAGAGTTGAATTCGGGGAATTATAATTGTCCAAGATTCCTTTCCTCCACATTTACTTATTTTCTGACGAACAAAACATATACAATAGATAAGTATTAGCGTGTACAGAGAATGTATACGTACAGTTTAGACCGCGTATTTAAATTCCGTCTAGATATATTTATAAACTCTGTTATTCAACCTTGAACCTTATTGTTACAGGAATTAGAAACAGCCGGCATGTCGACGCCACTAACCCTGGCGCCCCCGCAACACAAGATGGCTACATACGACACTCCCGCAGACTATCTCAACGCTTACATCACTTATAACGATGATTAATTGGTACGGTAATCGATTACACACGATTAATAATTAATCGATTTATAACCGATTTTCGGTATTTGAAGCAAATGACCGTCTTCCGAATGTAATAAAAGTGTGTAAGTAAATGGATTTCGATGAAATTTATTCGTAATTTCAGCTTAGCAAACATGCAGTCAATTTAACAATATATGGGTCGTTTTAGCAGTCTCATCGAATATTTATATTCATTAGTTAAGTTGTTATTTTGCTATCAAAAATGTAATTTAACTCATTTTATATTCAGTATTATGTTTCATTCGATTATAATAAGTTAGAAATTACGTATTTATATACTCAAGAAACAATCAACCAAAAAGTTGGTTAACAAAATTTTGACACGTTGAAATAATTTTATTTCATTTGTGTCTGTGACATTGTAAATAAATAATAAATGATATAATAATTATCATAATTATATAGCATTTGTAAGCATTTTTTTTATAATTTTTGCCTTCTATAAATAATAATTATAGAATTATACTATTTTATATTATATTTTAAGTATGCAATTTAAAACGAGCTGATGAAAGAATCAATCAAATATGGGTTATTTTTATCTTAGTTGTTCAGTCGACTACTAAACAAGGAACTTCAAGTTTTAGAATGGGCAAAGTACATTAATATTTCCTTTTTAAAAGCAACAACTTTTAGATCTTATAAAAATTATGATCTTATAAAGTGCCGTAATGTGCACGTCTGCCTAACCCTTCGGAGATAAAAGGTGAAAAAAATGAAAAATTGTTAATATTATATCAGTTTTCGTCCGTTATATTTTGACCTAGCACATTGTAGTGTTGTCCTAGTGTACTTTGTCGATATTCTAAAATCTAAAATTATCTGCCCGTTGTAGAATAAACTTATTGCACAATTTTATTATTCTAAATAACTTGTGACCATAAAGCAATTGTCTGGACTAGATTGAAACATTAGTAAGTTAAGTAATTATGTATTTAGAAAAATAATGAATCTGAATATTTTACTCTATAGAATATTATTATATTTATAATAGAGGAGTGTAGTTTATTATATTAAAGAGTTAAGACCCGTTTCGAGCATCTCTGTTTAAGTTTTATTTAGTTTAACTGACGAATAATGCCCATATCGTGCGGTGTTCCACAGGGTTCGGTATTGGGACCTATTCTGTAGAACGTCAATTACTATTGTATTAGGCAGGGAAGCAGCATTATTGGCAACAGATCTGATGCCTATAGCTATGAGATCACATATCGTGGTCATTGGAGCCCAAATAGCTGTCGAGTTCACCATGCATTAGCTAAGATTGAGTGCTCCACAGCCTTTGTGGCTTCGGTCCTCGCTGCCAGCGACCAACGCCCAAATTTATAGATGCAACGAATAAAATTTTACTTGCTATATTATTATAGTTAATTGCCATATAAAATATGTCACTTCAGAAACTTAACAGAGGTGCCAGTCAGGACATAAAGAGATGCATGTGTTTTGCAAATAATATTTATTATTTATAAGCGTGAGATTTTGTAGCGTGTTTATAATGGATATATTATTATAATAAGAGAATGTAATCAATCGATATAATATTATGCAATGATTTGTTTGCCTTGTAATTCTAATTAATAAGAATATTTTTAATACATAACATTATTCGTAATATTTTGTTTTATTTTGATTTTTTTTGTCGTTTTGGAAACCCTTAAACTTAGAATTGGTGGAAACGTAGAGCATAGATATCTTGTATACTTTGAGGTAGGTATTATGATGCACGACTCTCATATGTGATATTATTATTATTATTATTTTTTTTTTGTGATACTATGTTTAGATTTCGTATGTATAATGTAACTTTCGTATGAATAATGTAATTTTGAATTTTGAAATTTTATATTATGTAACTAATTTTGTCGTATTAGGCTAAGTACCTGTGAAGATTAAATTAGCTGTTTTTTGATATAAATAAATAAATAAATAAATATTCTTCCCATATCTTAAAATCATAGCTAAAACTAATGAAATTTTCATAACCGCTATTGTGTACAACACTCTTATTTGCTATTGAGTGACCTTGGTAGAAGTGGGCATTTAGTAAATCTTCCGACTTACATTTTCGTATCGAGACCGAGAGGCCATTCAATTTCATAATTTCAGTTCCATTACCAAAAAATAAAATAAAACTTCAATTAAACAAGAATAACTTTATGTCTCTTATACAAAACCAGTTAACATCTTTCGAACACTTTATACAAATCGTTTAAGCTAGCAATTTGCAATATGGCGCCGTTGTGAACGAAGCTAGTTGGAGGCAAAAAGTTTCGTCTAATCGCAGGGAACAGGACATGTTCCTGTCGCCATTGTTCAGATCTCAGACTATCTGGATTTGGGTCTGGGTTGGGCTGAGAGTAGAATATAGCCGTCTGCCGGCTAAAACTCTCGAAACATTCCTTTTCACTATCCCAGTTCACTTCGGTAACCAGGCGGACGAGATACGTGGGAAGAGCACCCATGAACGGAGTGTGGCCGTCTGTGAAGGTAACAAGGAAATAATTTAACAAATCTAATATACGATTAATTACAACTGGCTTAATAAGTCAATAAGGTATTCTGTTTATTTATTATAAGTATTTTTTTTTTATTAAGGTCAAATGGAAAATATTTAATCGGCGCAATTGTATGACCAGACCAAAATCGTATTTAATTATGTTATAGATACTACTTCAAAATCATTTGTGTGAAGTGAAGATTGTGCTTTAAGCCGGTTCAGATTTATCAGGAATAGTCCCAGTGGGCAGTGCTTCAGTTGGGTCTTATGATACCCGCGAAAAGTGTGGGAGTGGTATAAATATTCTACTTTGCCCTCACCATACGCCTACAACTCATAAACTCTTATTCAATTAACGGCCTAGCCTTTTTAATAAATTATATCGTAGAACAATTCTGGTAGCTGTGCTGACAATGTATTGATTAGGCCATAATTACCAGTGGCGCCTTCTACATTACATATATCGAAAAAAAAAATTACTGGACAAAATTTTAGAGCTTATTAATTAAGAAATTATTAATATATTACTAAAAAACATACCTAACAACAAAGGTAACGCCAGGAGCTCTCCATTACTGTTCATTTCGAATGAGAAGTATTCATACAGCATATTGCGCTTGCCGACAAGTAACTCGGTCATTTGCTGTGCCATATCTCGCATATCACCTGAAATTTGTTAAAAGATCATTTAAAAATAATATAATCTGTGGGTTAGCATTATGAACTCATTATAATAGTCAGTCAACATTTAAAAATGTAAAGAGGTACTAAGCAGCGTTTTAAATTATATAGTTTTATATGGGTACTATCGGGAGCCGGCCAATCAAAGCTACGAACGCAGTTTCGATTCGATTAGGTACTTACGTAAAACACATTCGTACTAAGGCCTCAGAGAGCCAAGCACGAATAACTATCGCACGAGTAACGTAATAGAATCGACCGCGATCCGCGCTCTCATTGGCCGGCTCCAGTGAACCAACTAATCAGAGCGCTCGATACTATTAGATTACGAATTCGTGCATTCAGATTTGTTTACTCAAGTAACTGTTTGACGAATACGAGGAATAGTACGCATCGCGTGTCGAACTATGTTACTCGTGAATATGTGCCCCTTTTTTTTAAGGAGGGAAAATCATCGAATGGCTGCTCCCGCCTGGGTGAGGCGGGAGAGAGTGTCAGACTCTTACTGACTAAAAACCCCCGTTCCTTCTCCTGCACGTCGAGCCGGAGCCCCGGTTACCCGTTAGGTTCTCCGCGACTCCGAATCGGCATCGGCCCTATTGGGCCCCATCTGTGGTGGTCTGATGGCTCTTTGAGGCGCGCACGGAACGCGACGCGCCGTACGCTCGCGGAATATGAGCCCCTAGCATGGCTTGAAACTAGTCAAGTTCCTCGTCAAACAGTTATGTGAGTATACCGGAAAACACAATACAATTAATTTAGTATGTCTAACGAAAAATATAATATTAAAATGTAATGAATTCGTAAGTCACGTTGTTTATTTGTATGTAGAAAAGAAGATTAGACACAAACCTAATTCTGGGTCCCAATTACTCTCCTGTGAGCTAAGTCCTAGAACAAAGAGTTCTTCTAACGGCAACGGACTGGATAACTTTATTAGTCCAAAGTTCTGGAAGTCGTACAGCAGTGTCTCGTAGAACAATTCTTCTCTGTAAAAGTATATTAGACATTTTCAACTACATCTCTTAAACTGTCAAACACCAAGCGGTCACCGGTGACCGCAACCTATTGTTCTTTAATTGTGTCTATAATGACGGTACTCAACGAGTTAAACAGGGTGCAGTTTTATTTTCATAAAAGTAAAGAATTAAATGTTTGTTTTATGTAATAATTTTATGTAATAAATGCAATTTGACTGCACGGTTGGTGCGGTGGCTGGGCAACCTACTGCCGTGCAACGTGTCGCGGGTTCGATTCCCGCACGGAACTACATTTTGTATGATCCACAAATTGTTGTTTCGGGTCTGGGTGTCATTGTGTATGTGAACTGGTATGTTTGTAAACGCACCCACGAAACAGGAGAAAATACTAATGTGGGGCAACGTTTTAAAAAAAAAATCAACACATCAATACTGATGTTTCATGAATAACACGAAAATCTTAACGATTAAAATTATAAAAACAATTTCTTTTTGGTAGCGTTTCGCTAGCGTGCGTTACCCCAACAAGAAAATATCTCCTAGAGATATATGAGTAGAACGTATAGTTGGTGCCTTATCTGCTGTAAATGTGCCCCCACTTAAAAAATGTGTGCCCCCTGTCGTTTTGAAAAAAAAACGGAAAAACGATTCTTGCTGGGGTAACGTTTTTCTAGCAGGAAAATTCTAAACGAGTGATCGGAGAGAAAAAAAATGTGCATGGCCAGAGAGCTTATATGTGTGCCACTATGTGCCCCCAAAAATAAAATCTGTGCCCCTTCAGATTTTCGGGATATTGCGTTTCCTGCTGGAGTAACGTTTTGATGAATCGTATATCTCTAAAACCATTGCATGTGCCCCTGTAGAATAAACATTCACGAGTAGCTCTTAATGTGTGCCTCTGTGTGCTCCAATTAGATTTAAGGAAATATTTATAGTTTTCAAGTTATCGCGGTTTTATGAAAATCCGAAAAAACATCGCAGCGCCTAAATGAGACAAGGTATAAGTTCGCTGAAAACTGTATTCGGTCCTTCTTGATGCTAATAATAACCATACAAAGTTTCAAAACGCTTCATGCATGCGTTTTTGAATAATCTTGCTACAAGTCAAGACGATGGTGTCATAACTTTGACGGCAAAATACAAGGAACTGGCTAAATCCCAGATGTGTAGGTGTAAACCAAAATCATGTGCCTTTAATCAAAAATATGTGGTGAAAATATTGAGCTTGGAATGTTTCGCATTAAGTAAATATGAACAAAAAACCGAATTAAGTAAACAACGGCTGGTTATCCGACCAAATTTGAATGACTACTAAAAAGCGACGGATTCATACATATCGATGACCTTCTTTATTTTACTTACTAACCGGTTCACACGTGTTGTGCCTGAGTACACTGAAGTAGAAAAGTAATAAATAATAAAATAAAGTTGTTATTGGATTATGTTCTACTAGTGAATAATAGGTACAAAGTGTTTATTGACTAGGAAGTGCGTTTAGATTATTTCTTTTTATTGGTAAACAGTTGCAGTTATGTAATGACGCCAAGGACACTGTTATGTTGAGTCACGCAGTTGCACTGATACTGTTTGTTTACTTTTTGTTTTTTTACTTACTGCGGTGGTAAGTATTTAATATCTTTATTTTGACTTATTTACAAATACTTGTACCTTATGAAATAGCTTATTTGTTTCTGCTATAAGACAAAGAGTTTACTCTAATAGTATGTGCATAAGTCATGCAGATGAAAACAAATTGTACAATTGCAAGTATTTGCCGTTGAACTTAGATATAATAAATATTAAAGGTATCAACCACCTATAAGAAGCTTGCGAATCATGTTTAAGAACAGAATTTACTCCAGAGTGTCATATTTGTTGCGCCGGAAATTTATCCTTCAGATACAATGTTAAAGATATTATCATTTATGACGTTTGCGTCAAGTTGGATGATCTGCCTCGTAACATTGAAGTAAATAATAAGGAGTACACAATTCTGTCTGCAATAGAATATGAACCCGCTTCGAAACTCAATAGTGTTGGACATTACAGGGCTCACTGCTACAGAAAAAATAGTAATTTATTTGAATGTTATGATGACTTATATGGTAAAATCCAACGAAGTGGGAAATATAATATTATGCCACATGTAATAGTCTACACAGTAGAATAGACAAAATTGTACAGGGTTAAAATGAATGCTCCAGAGTAGCCCGCGAAATACAAATTTTCTTATGTCTTTTGGAAGTTTAGTTTAGTTTAAGTTAAGTTTTTTTTTTCTTAAATTAAGGGAAGAAAAATAATAATTTCCACATCAACAAGCTGTTTCATTAATATAGTCACAAGCTGCATTTAATATATTTTTTAATTAGCCCCCAAAACTTTTGAACGCAACTGCACGGACAACAGCTTAGGTATAATACGTCCAATAAAGAAGGTCATCGATATGTATGAATCCGTCGCTTTTTAGTAGTCATTCAAATTTGGTCGGATAACCAGCCGTTGTTTACTTAATTCGGTTTTTTGTTCATATTTACTTAATGCGAAACATTCCAAGCTCAATATTTTCACCACATATTTTTGATTAAAGGCACATGATTTTGGTTTACACCTACACATCTGGGATTTAGCCAGTTCCTTGTATTTTGCCGTCAAAGTTATGACACCATCGTCTTGACTTGTAGCAAGATTATTCAAAAACGCATGCATGAAGCGTTTTGAAACTTTGTATGGTTATTATTAGCATCAAGAAGGACCGAATACAGTTTTCAGCGAACTTATACCTTGTCTCATTTAGGCGCTGCGATGTTTTTTCGGATTTTCATAAAACCGCGATAACTTGAAAACTATAAATATTTCCTTAAATCTAATTGGAGCACACAGAGGCACACATTAAGAGCTACTCGTGAATGTTTATTCTACAGGGGCACATGCAATGGTTTTAGAGATATACGATTCATCAAAACGTTACTCCAGCAGGAAACGCAATATCCCGAAAATCTGAAGGGGCACAGATTTTATTTTTGGGGGCACATAGTGGCACACATATAAGCTCTCTGGCCATGCACATTTTTTTTCTCTCCGATCACTCGTTTAGTATTTTCCTGCTAGAAAAACGTTACCCCAGCAAGAATCGTTTTTCCGTTTTTTTTTCAAAACGACAGGGGGCACACATTTTTTAAGTGGGGGCACATTTACAGCAGATAAGGCACCAACTATACGTTCTACTCATATATCTCTAGGAGATACTTTCTTGTTGGGGTAACGCACGCGTTTCGCTAGGCTCTCCCTAAGCTGAAATAGATGAAATTCAAAGGCATTTTGGTTTTCAACAACGTCAACAAGGTGCTACGTCACGCTAAGTAACTTTTTAAGTTAAGAAATGGTTTTTGGTGTATGTATTTGGTGAAAACTGACTAGCGGAGACTAAACAGACAATAATTGGGTATTTTCCTGTGTTAAAAATAAATTGTTTTGATTTTTCAATCCAATTAAATATTCAAAAATAATTACAATTTCATTCATATATTTGACTATATACTTAATTTTCGATTTATTCTAGCAATTTTTTCAGAAATAAGTGTGCTATTTGACTCGTAAATATGATGACGTCATAAGTTAGTTTTTGGTACAAAATTCATAGAACAATATCGTTTTTGACGTTTCGATAAAAGTATTGAATTTGATTAGTTGTAAAATACCGTATTCCGTGAGATTCCACAGTAGGACTCATAGGCTCATAAGCCTTCTCTAGAAAAGAGGGGTTTGCCAAAATCTACCATAATACGGCCCAAATACCCAAGGTCGTACTATGAACAACACAATTTATTATCATAGGTAACATGTATACGGCTATTTGAGGCTTCGTAAATTGAAACTTTAGACCAAGTAAGGCTCAACTCACACCAAAAGAGAGTCGAATCGCACCTCAGTTTGTGTCATATGAATTTTCAATTTACTTTCATTTCTATTGCTTATTATCCAATGAGAAAAAAAAAATCTCTAGTTTTTAAAAAAAATCTCAGAAGTAGCACGGAGTCTGGAATTGTGGCTGGTATGTGGCAATAGGCTCACCCCCTATTACATGGGACTCATAACATAAATAGTGAAAAGTGGGTATGACATTGTACAGTGGTAGGTATAATGTGCACCTCTGCCTACCCCTTCGGGGATAAAAGGCGTGATGTTATATTATCGCATGAGAAACTCGAACGAGTCGTGCAGATGCCCGCGGCGCCACGGTTATTCCAGCGAATTAAATTCCTGCGCCCTAACAGGGTAATATACTGAATTAGTTGTATGTAATACTTCTTATTATATGTACATTGTGCAGTATGAATAAATAAATTCCATAAACGAAAAATCGAGAAGTCACTGGACTCCGCGCTTCGCTACCCTTCGCCGTACTTTCGGTGGAAGTTGACTCTTTAAAATATTTGCTTTTATTTTTTTTCTATAGCATGAGCCGGTAAACGAGCAGACAGATCACCTGATGGTAAGCAATTGGCGTCCCCCATGGACACCTGGAACACCAGAGGCGTTACCAGTGCGTTACCGGCCATTTGGGGATTAGGAGTTTGAGGATCGTTGGGGATTCAGGAATTGGGAAGATTGGGGAAGGGTATGGTATTTGGGCCTCCGGTAACCTCACTCACACGACGAAACACAACGCAAGCGTTGCTTCACGTCGGTATTCTGTGAGGCTGTGGTATCACTCCGGTCAAGCCGGCCCATTCGTGCCAAAACATGGCTCTCCCACACTTCAGCATAATAATAAACAATGCAACTTAACTTCCTATAATAATAAAATAATAAAGTCACACTCACGCAAATTTAGTCGTATCGCACAAATATAACTTTGTAGAATGCTGTATGAGTGATTTGTGGCAATCGATACATGCAATAAAGATCAAATTCGCTAGAATCTCTCTCAGATTTGTGTTACATTTATTCTCGACATCTAGTCTGAGTTGTTTTATACTCGTCAACTTAGTTTCGACCCTCTCGTACTTAAAGGTTCTCGTTTTGAATGAATCTTTTGGGTCTATATAACTTAAGTTAGCTTGGTCTAAAGCTGTATGAGTCTTGTATTGGTCCTGTCGCTCATTTCTTGGTTCTTCGCCTATAGAATTTTCTAGAACTTCGTCCGATTCTCTATCAACGATTATATCTGGTACTTTTGTGTTTTTAGGCTCATTTTGTACTTCCATATTGATCTCAGTGTCAGTTATAGTGTCATTCGGTTTATTTAGTGTAGGAAAGAATTTGTCTATCTTTTGCACGTCTGAGTTAACTCGGACCATGTAACTAGGGTTTAATTTCGTTTCTGTCGTCTTCTTCACGATCTCCTCTACCATCGTAGCGCCTGGTAATCGTGCCTGGAATATTAACAGATATTTATCTTATCTGACTGCCTCGTTGGCAGAACGATCGCAAGCCTGACTGCCGGGCAAAGGGTATAGGCTCATCCCCTATTACATGGGAGTCATAACATAAATAGTGAAAAGTGGGTGTTACATTGTACAGTGGCATTAGGTGCCGTAATGTGCACCTCTGCCTACCCCTTCGGGGATAAAAGGCGTGATGTTATGTTATGTTATGTTATCTTATCTTAAAAATCCCACACTCCCTAGTCTTTTATCCCCAAAAAGGCTGGACGCCTTTTGAAGGTTTTGAAGGTTTCCCCCCGTGACCAAAAAAAAAATGGTACCTGTGTGTACATAACCCTGGTAGAATTACAGCTCAGCAGCTTGCTCTCTATACAAGACTTGATCTTCTCAATAATTTGCTCTTCATACAAAAACTGTACTTCGTGTTTAGTCGGGTGCACGTTTACGTCAACATTTCTTGGATCTGTTGAACAATTATTAATAATATTATAGGCCGGCAAACGAGCAGACGTATCACCTGATTGTAAGCAAGCATGGATACCCACAACACTAGAGAAGCTCCTACAGTAAATAAAAATACGAATCCTAATCTTCATAGAATAGATGGTGAATAATTAATTTGAGTTCCGTGGAAAGTAGCTAATCAACTAAAAATTTTAATACCTGTTGGTACAGCAAACAAGTGTGTTGAAGATCATTTGGAAGTAGGAATTTGGTAGTAAATAGTGTATTTCACGTAGCCAGTGATATCTTCTTAATATATATTAATCTCGTGTCACAATGTTTGTCCTCAATGGACTCCTAAACCACTTAACCGATTATAATAAAATTCGCACACCATGTGTAGTTCGATCCAACTTGAGAGATAGGATAGTTTAAATCTCAAATTATAGTCGCAATTTTAATTTATTGCTAATTATTTGTCTGTTATTATTTGACAGTCACAATTATCTGTTACCTAACTCCAAATGATTCTAACAGATGTCGATACCTTTCGACTGGGTTGAGTAAGTAATCAATAGATGGCGCTGCTATGGGGTTTTTTTAATAGATAGAAGGAGTGATTTTAAGGAAGGTTTATATGTATAATGCATGCATATTGCACCCGTGCGAAGCCGGGGCGGGTCGCTAGTTGTTTATAAAAAGTTAGACTCACCTAATTCCAGACTAAGATAGACGAAGGCGTGCGCATTTTTAGGTAAATAAGTCGAATATATTGAATCCACGGCTTTTCTTATTGCTGAAAAAATATGTGATTCTGATTATGTCAAAGTATTAATTTAATAAAAATATTGTAAAACATACAAAGCGCAATATAATATGCCTTTAATAACATACAGTACCTACTATTCAAAATTTTTGTAATGTAAAATTAAAATTATTGGTACCTATTCTTTCGAGACACGTAGGTATATGACAAAATAATGGTCAATGGTAATAAAATAGTGGTAATCTATGGTTGGCTGGTAGAGAATGCCATTCGGCATTAAGTCCGCCATTGTATACAGTTGTGCATAAAGTGTTAAATAAATAAAAATAAAAAATACGTGTATAATATTTTTAATTATTTAACTGGCGGACTAACTATTAGATATTTCATTTTCATACCCTGTCTACTGCCCTATTAAGTATACGATTTTTTCCATCATTTAATGAAACTGACTGGCTCGATGGCCGAGTGGTCGCAAGTTCGAATGCCGGGCAAGGGGTCTCGGGTTCGATTCCCGGGTTGGGCAAAGTATTACTGGGTTTTTAAAAAAAAATCTTATAGTAGCACGGAGTCTGGGAATGTGCCCGGTATATGGCAATAGGCTCACCCCCTATTACATGGGACTCATAACATAAATAGTGAAAAGTCGGTGTTACTTCTGTGTGCACCTCTGCCTACCCCTTCGGGGATAAAAGGCGTGATGTTATGTTATGTAAGGACTCATAACATAAATAGTGAAAAGTCGGTGTTACTTCTGTGTGCACCTTTGCCTACCCCTTCGGGGATAAAAGGCGTGATGTTATGTTATGTAATGGTTATGGTCACAGTTGTGACCACTTATTATCTGCTAATTATGTGAAGGCTGTAATATTATCGTAGGTACCCTTAGGTAAAAAAAGCATACAAAAAAGTTCTTACATAGCGAATCCACTAATCTATGGTTGATGAACAATAGCATAGTTCCTTTTTTATGTGAATAGTTGACGTTTGTTATACAGCCTCGTAATGTAAGCTTTAGGGAAGAATCGTGTAGTTCTATATCCATTAGTTCGCGAGCAATCGCGTTACCATGTATCTGGAAATAAAAAAAAACAATTTGAATGTACAATTTTATTCATATTATAACTTTCGTGAGACATACTAAATTAATTATTATGTTATCGGCTTACTCACATAACTGTTTGACGCGGAACTCGACTAGTTTCAAGCCATGCTAGAGGCTCATATTCATGAGCAGCATTCAGCGACCCGCGACATAATAATTAATTTACAATTTTATTGATTACTAATCTATATTAATCTTACTTTTTACTAGATAATATTATACATGCGATAGTTTGTGGGTTTGTATGTTTGTTATTCATTTACTTCAAAAGGGCTGAAAGGATCGGGATGAAATTTGGAAAAGGGGTAGATTATGATCTAGAACACACGGGCGAAGCCGCTTTCCGCATTATGGTATAAAGCTGAAGTGTTAGTTTGTTTGAGCATGATAATCCGGAAGTACTCATTATAATTAAATAATTATTTGTTGTATCGACTTCGAAGAAGATAATAGCTTGTTTTAGTTTTTATAATGTAGTTTATTCTCTTTTTCATTTTATTTTCTTTCTCTCTCTCTATCTCTCTCTCTCTCTCTCTCTCTCTCTCTCTATCTCTATCTCTCTCTATCTCTATCTCTCTCTATCTCTATCTCTCTCTATCTCTATCTCTCTCTATCTCTCTCTATCTCTATCTCTCTCTATCTCTCTCTATCTCTATCTCTCTCTATCTCTATCTCTCTCTATCTCTATCTCTCTCTATCTCTATCTCTCTCTATCTCTATCTCTCTCTATCTCTATCTCTCTCTATCTCTATCTCTCTCTATCTCTATCTCTCTCTATCTCTATCTCTCTCTATCTCTATCTCTCTCTATCTCTATCTCTATCTCTCTCTATCTCTATCTCTCTCTATCTCTCTCTATCTCTATCTCTCTCTATCTCTATCTCTCTCTATCTCTATCTCTCTCTATCTCTATCTCTCTCTCTCTGTTTTTAAACCTTTTTATTGGTATAATGTATATATTTTTTTTGTTCCTGGCGTGCATGTCTTATGCCGAATAAATATATTTCATTTAATTTCAATAAAACGTTGCGGTACAATCAATGGTAACTGAGCAGCTGATCAACCCCCGCGAGAGTAGCTACATGCAATAAACATAGTACTCACAATCCGAACATTTTCAATAACAGAAGAATTAATCGGAGTCTTCAGATCCGTGTTCTCTCCAAACTTCTTCAAAGTGAACCCTACGTGGCTGTTATGTATCGCATACCCTCCAACCACCTCCATTATATGCGTGTACTCCTCCGTAGGGCTCCGGAGTGACTTCTTACGAGCTATCACGTTGTAAAACAGATCTTCAACAGTTATTTGAGTACCATTGTTGCCAGCACACGGCTTCATTGGAGCCTTTAGTTTTCCATTTTCATATGAAGCTCTAGAATTGGAATAAATAATAAACTAACGTTTGTTGTGAGTTTGTGTGTTGGAACTCAATAATGTCAAAACAACAGAAGGTATTTAGATGAAATTTGGAACAGGGTTTTTTTTAACGGGGGAAAATCATCGAATGACTGCTCCCGCCTGGGTGAGGCCGGAGGGAGTGTCAGACTCTTACTGACTAAAGACCACCCCGTTCCTTCTCCTGCACGTCGAGCCGGAGCCCTGGTTACCCGTTAGGTTCTCCGCGACAACAGGGGTAGATTATGGTTATAAGTATAACACACAGAGTACTATTAACCAGAATGGAACGCGGGCAAAGCCGCGGGCAGATGCTATTATTATAAATGCGAGTGTATTTGTTTGCTACTATATAATGTTAAAATAGCAAAAGGTATTAGGTTAAACTTTGGAACAAGGGTAGAGTATGGTCTATTATTATAACACACAGAGTACTGTTTACTACATGGGAGCATAGGCAAAGCCACTGGTAGAAGCTAGTTAGATTTCATTAATGTATAATTTTATTTTAATTAATAAATAAGACCTACTTATAAGCACATTTAGAGGCAGCTGTCTTAGTGAGTATAGTAAGATGAGCTATGTGACTGATACTAGATAGGGCTTCACCCCGGAACCCATATGTGGCAATCTCCTTCAGATCTTCATATTCCCTCAGTTTAGATGTTGTGAACCTTTCACAGACTATCTCCAAGTCCTCACTTCTTATACCTGTGCCATTGTCCTGAATCTGGAATAAAAAAAAAACATTCCACACAATAGTTGTGAAATAAAATTATTATAATGTGTTCTTCTCTATTCTAAACATTTACCTAACACATTATTCAAAGCTTGTAAAAAGAGAAGAAATTATTTTCAAATTAGAAAAAATTATTTTGATAGCATTGTACAACATAGATGGCTAATAGTCAACCAGATTTTTTTATGGGATAGACCGGTAAACAAGCTGACGGATCACCTGATGGTAAGCAATTGGCGTCGCCCATGGACACCCGGAACACCAGAGGCGTTACAAGTGCGTTACCAAGCTTTTGGGGATTAGGAATTTGAGGATTGTTGGGGATTGGGGAGATTGAGGAAGGGGAGTTTCGGCCTCCGGTATCCTCACTCACACGACAAAACACAATGCAAGCGTTGCTTCACGTCGGTTTTCTGTGCGGGCGTGGTATCACTCTGGTCAAGCCTGCCTATTCGTGTCGAAGCTTGGCTCTCCCATACTTACACAGTGAATTTATGAGCTAATATTGATATAATCAATACATAATTATGACGGCACAGTTGGCGCGGTGGCTGGGCAACCTGCTGCCACATAACGTGTTGCGGGTTCGATTCCTGCACGAAACATCTCTTTGTGTGATCCACAAATTGTTGTTCAGGGTCTGAGTTTGTAATCTGCAGACGGTTATCTGTTTGACTATGGATTAGCTGCAATGGAGCTTCATCCACATATGGGAACAATTTATAATATTTAATTACCTGTAAATACTTTAGTCCGCCGGCCTTCACAGTTATTATAATGTTTGTTGCTTTAGCGTCCAAACTGTAATCAAAAGTAGTAAACTTACAATATTCTGAATAACACTAACTACAATAATAATTATTTTTAAAATCAAGATCAAATCAAATTACTTTAATGCATCTATAGTGTGTACAGGGTGGTTTACAATTTTTTTATGTTCCAACTATAGGTCCTTTTGGGTACCGCAAAAGTACTTACTCTACTTACAATACATGTTATTATCAAACTATGGACCTCCATTACCAAGAAGGGACGCGTTGGAGATAAAACAAATCATTGTAATAACAATACATACAACAGTACATACCTGTTTTCTATTAACTCTTTTAACGCATTTGAAGGCCTTTGAACAATTTCACCTGCAGCTATACGATTTATTACTTCTTCATTTAACTTTCGTATTATGCCGGGTTCTCCCATGTTTCTCTGATACTAAAACTTCATATAATATTTTGTTTTTAAATTGAAAACAGCCGGCTTTGTTTACATTCTACAAGAAAAGACAATTACAAATGACAACTGGTATTGCTTCCATGACAGTGACAATTTGATATTTATGTCAACGACAATCAGAATTTTTAGGAAAATAATATGAAAGAATCTATGGGCAACATTGGCCTGCAATTTTTAAACGTCAAAGTTATTATTTACCTACTTTGATTGTTAGTTATTGTCAAATAATACCACACATAGTATTTTAACAAAATAGCGGACACAAATACAATTTGTCAATTTATTTGGTATAGTAATTACGTTTTTCGTGTGTTGTGATTGTGTCTTACTTTGTGAATATTTAATTTATGAAATAATTATATTAAACGTAGAAGAACGTTTTAAGTGCAAAATTCAACTTTAATGAGTAAATTGTTTGGAAAATAGTGTGGTTACACTACAATGGCCAACAATGACACAGATTTTGATACAGACTCCGAGTTCAACAGCGATGAGGAAGCACAGCTTGAAGAACAAAACTTAAAACGACTTAATGAGTTGTTGGACGATGAAGATGACATCCCTGGCGGAGGAATATCGATGTATCCTCCTCATCTACCTTCAATACATCATTCGTCGTCATACAAAACTCTCTTACAGACAAACAATTCAAAGTCAGGGACTCTAGCTCAAATTGACTTAGCTCTGTCAGCAAATAAAATTCTTGACGAAAAAATACGCAAACTCGAGAGAGACCTTACGGTACGTTTAAAAGAATGCAGAGACAAACTTGAGGTTATTCAAAACAGTGCTCACACATACACACATAATGATAAAAATGAATTATTCCGATACATAAGCTGTGGCAGGCCCTACTTCAAGGACAAACTCAACTTCCCGGCTCCAGACAATGATGATGCGAAAATGGCAAAGTCTCAGATGTATGATTTCTCTCTGGTTATATCAGTACCCGGGTGGACAATGCGGGATAAGTCTCAATTTATTACTATGATGCACAAAATATCTGTAGAGAATAGAAGAAATGAGTTCTTTGCTCAAATAACAAACTTGAAACGTAAATGCGGGAATAGTAATAATAAGAAACTAGAACGAGACATAATGGTGCTTAGAAAAAAGATTGATCAGCTTGCAAAGATGCCTTTGAGTCAAGTTGCTCTTCCGATAGACCAGGAGTATGACTGGGACATGTTAGCTAACAAGTTGAATAGAAGGCACACTGCCCAAGAATACCAGTCACTGTGGAAATTATTTTTTCATCCATCCATAAATAAAAACAGTTGGAGCAAAGCTGAACATGCAACTTTACAAAGAATTGCTTGCCAAAATAATCAACAAGACTGGGATGATATAGCACTTAAATTGAATACTGGCCGTTCAGGGTATCAATGTTTTGTATATTATCGCACAAATATGACCAATTCTTTTACTGGCAAAAAATGGACTAATGAGGAAATAACATATCTTAAAAGGTTGATAGATTATTTCAAAGAAGACAATTACATTCCGTGGGGTAAAATAGCAGCAGCTATGGAAAACCGAACAAAAATCCAAATTTATAACAAATATCTAAGAATGATTGAGCAAAGAAAAGGGAGATTCCTTCCAGAAGAAGATGCTGTTATACTTAACTGTGTTGAAAGATTTGGTACTAATTTTAGGAGAATGACAGATTTTCTGCCTGGTAGGTCTATGGTACAAATCCGTTCCAGGTACCAAGTACTCAGTAAATTAAGAGTGTCTACAGTATGGACCGTTGAAGATGATAAGAAACTGGTTCAGATAATTGGGAACCAAGACTCAAACATCAACTTTGCAACAGCCACACAATACTTTCCAGGAAGAAACCGAGTCAAACTACGAACTAGATACATAACTTTAGTGAAATGGATGAAAAAACATCCAGGTGTTAGTTTAGATCATGCGCCTCGGCGCGGTGCTCGGCGGTTGAATCATGGATATCGAAGCAATAACCTTAATGATGCCATTGAGAATTTAAAAAATACTTTAAGTTCAGCAGTAGAAGTTAGATCAAAGAAAAAGAAAATTGGAAAAGATTCTCCACATATAGAACTAGATGATGGCATTGTAGTACTTCTTGTTAATAAATTAATAAAAGAAAGAGAAGCAGAGATGAAAAAACGTGTGACAGATGATGTGATGGTACTAGCACCAGACCTGATTATTTCGCAAGAGCAATTAAATTTACGAATTTGCGTAAAAATTTGATATTTTTGAATGCATGTCTAGTTGAAGATATATACCTACAAAGTTCATATGAGAATGAATATCCTAATATAGGGGATTCTGAACTGGATGTATCCCTTGTGAAAGTTAAATCTTACTCCAAGATGGATGTAGGAAAAACAATTAAAGTGAATGATAGCCCAAATGTTTGGGGAACTCCTTCTCTGAATATGATCGCCCAACGAAATTACTTGTTCCCTCCAAGTCTTGCAACTTTAACAGGATGTAAAAATATAATGCAAGCTTTGCTAACACCGGGTGGTTATAATGATACTATGAACCTACATGTTCTGGTAAGAAGGAATCCAATTACGAAAGAGCTGTTAGACCTAGTTCTTGAGCGTTTCTACCTGTTATTTACATGGCCTATGATCTTATCAAATGAACCACCTCCTGAAAATACATTGGCAGTTAAAAGAATAAATTCAGTTTTCACTCGACCACCGACCTTGCCGCACGCGCCCGAAGTAACAATTAACGTAAAATGCATAAAAAAATATAAGAATGTAAACATTACTGAAGTTATAGACTTGGATGAACAGAAGAATAAGAAAATCGATATAACTGTCGACGAGACACTGAATGCTAGCGATACGGTGAAAAAGCTTCTTGCCAGTGATTAGATTTCTGTTTCATGTTTAAAGGTTTAGGTTATCTAGGTTAATATTTGTTAAAAATCAATAAAGAAGTTTCTGTTTAAAAACGTTTAGTTCTTTTATTATAAAAATTGAAGAAATCTCCGTCACTTCAAAGCAGTGTTAGCACAAAAAGTGGCTCTACCTAAACATTTTAAACTAAATTGTACATTAAGACATGTGACCCTCATTGAATATTTAGTGTCCGTTACCCCGGCCAGATGTTGTCGAAAATGGTCATTTGAATCTTATAGATAATTAGTTTTTCGGCTTCTGTAATTGTTGCGCACATTTTTAAATTTGTTGAGCTTATAGAGGTATTTTTAATTATTTCATAAAAACATTTCCTACTGGGGTAACGTTACCCGCAGCTTTTTCTTCATAATCGAAATATTTAAATAATCACTAGCTATAAAATTAGTTGTCTAGATGAAGTAAATGTTGTGCGTTATTTTGTTTAGAGATTTGATTGGAGATTATACTGGGGTAACGGTTTTGGTAGATCTATGAAATGATTAAGCGGATTCGTATCATATTTTGTACATGGCTTCTTAGCAATAAAAAACCAAAATAGTACATAGCTTAAAAATTATTTCATTAAATAAAAAATAACGCTTAAATTGGTCCCAGCACTCAAGAGCTCTAAAGATTTACTTGTAACTAACTGCCGTCAAATGTATGTGAAGTTTCTTCAGATCCCGTAAGTGGCAACCCGACCAAGTTTAGATGGTTACGAAAAAGCGAAAACGCAGAACATTATACTATCTTTTAAAATGTTTAGTATAATACACCTTACAATTTCGGTAGAGACGCGTACACTGTTCAATACATTAATAATATCGTAGGTATATTTAATATATTTTAGAAGGTACCATGATGTTTTGCGTTTTCGCTTTTTTGTAAACACATAAACCTGGTCGGTCATTCACTTCCTAATGACTTTCATTGTATTATCTCATTAATTATCCAATGTACTGAGCTGAAATTTTACTGATATACACTGATATACGTTACCCCAGCAGGAAATGTTTTACTGAAATAATTAACAAACTATAAGCGCAACAAATTTTAAAAATGTGCGCAAAAATTACAGAAACCGCAAAACTAATAATTATATCTATAAGATTCAAATGACCATTCTAGCTTGAGTAACGCACACAAATATTTAGATTTTTGTTATCGAGGTAGTTTTAGAAGATACTCCTTTAAAACCTAGGAACCGTTGGCAGAATATCCCAATCATCTCTTTACAGTCATTTGCTTTTATTTGACCTCCGCAATAATTTTATAGTGTTCAATACAATGAAATGCTTAAAAATAATCACTCATTAATGGGTCTGACGATGTACTAATTTCTAGCAATTTTCTAAAATAATTCTGCTTTTGTGCCAAAAATATGACGTCATAACTTACGATCCACGAAATCTCTTATAATCAACTAGCTACTGCTTTTATAGCCTATATAGGCTATAAAAGGTTACAAACCTTGCTCGATAAATTAATGCACAACCAACAATAAGAAAAATTAAATTGGACCAATAGGTCCGGTGATTAGCGCGTTCATATAAACAAACTCTTAACTGAGGTTTCCAGACAAAGAACTAATTTTACCACGATTATGTATCTACATCAGAATTAGCAATTGTTTTTTTTAATGAACCCGTAAACGAGCAGTCTGATCATCAGAAAGGCAATGGGCGTCGCCCGTGGACACCTGAAACACCAGAAGCGTTACAAGTGTTTTACCGGGCCGGGGATTAGGATTGTTGAATAAATGAAGAATAAAACAATATGATTAAAAACGTGTATTGAAAAAAGACAAGCTTAACCTCGGAATGCAATCTCTAATTTCTACGTATCAACAACATAGTTTGGATGTACTACTAGTAGTGGGTCATCTTCTATTTCTTGATCTGAAGACTTTTGTGTCGCTTTGAGGCCTGTAGTCGAGAGCGGGATAATAACTTGATCCTGAAACAAAAACGAAATGTATTGGATAGATGGATCAGTCCGTATTCTACTTTTTTTAGTATAGCATTTTGTGATAAAATTTTCCTGTTGTTATTAATTTTTTTAATAGATTTAACTTTATACAAAAAATTTAAGGTCGGAAATCACAACACAAGTTTCAGAAAATGACTTACATGATACATCAGCCTATCAATGACTTTCTCAACCAAGGTCTTCCTCTCAAGCAGCTCATCTTCGTTCTCAATTTGTCCTTGTCCTACTAGTTGTTCCAAGTACCAGCTTACGACGGCACTCTTGCGCATACCAGCGCTTTCTTCTCCTGTGAAATTACAATACTCTTATGAATATAATAATATACAATCCTGGGATTGTAACAATTTCTATACAATAGAACTTCAACATCGTCAAATACATCCTATCCTACTAATATTATCAATTCGAAAGCTGTATGGATTTATATTTATTTGTTACTCTTTTACGAAAAATAAATTGGATATATTTGGATGATATTTCCTATAGAGATATATTAGTCTGGGTAATTTTTATTTCGGAAACGCGGGCGAAGCCGCTGACCGGAGCAAGTTTCTCATACATATAAGATTAGCGACAATACCTCTAGTTTCAGCTTCCACTTCCTCTTTCCTCATGAACACAACCAGCATGTCACTCAAAGACTTGTACTCTTCAAAGGAAAGCGTCAGTTTCTTCTTCGGAGCCGAGTCACCGTTTGGTGGGGCTTCTGTAAATAAATCAAATTTTACCAACGAAAATAATATAAATGTGAATGCCAGTCCTTACTTAGGCCAACTTTAAATGAGCAGCTGTTTTTTATAATTTACATATTAAATGACAATGACCAAATTTGTATGAAGCATGGTGCCTTTTCATTTTTTCGCGGTATTTGATCAAACAAAAAACTATATGTGGTCATATCAAAAACACAGTCCAAACCGAGTTAAGTCAGTTCATAGATGTGAAAATAGTGCTATATTATTCCTGTTATTTTGTTGATGGTGACTGTACACAACACATTTTTTCATTTACTTGTCAACAATATTTTGTAATAAATATTTATAAATTTCAAGGAATAAAGTAGGAGTAGCAGCAGTCGTCAAAACACAAAAAAATCTGTATTATTTTGGTTTTTTTTATTGCAAAACAAATTTAAACTAATTCCTAAGAATGTATGTAATGTGTAAAAGAATCCGCTTAACCATTTCAAAGATCTAGTAAAACCAAAAACGTTACCCCAGCCAAATCTCGAATAACTTCAACAAACAAATACAAAATAAGGCACAACATTTACTTCAGCTAGATAACTAATTGTATCGCTAGTAATTATTTAAACATTCCCATCAGAAAGAAAAAGGGGTAACGTTACCCCAGTAGGAAATGTTTTTGTGAAATAATTAACAACACATTGAAAAATTTCAGAAGCAGCAAACTAATTATTTGTAAGATTCAAATAACCATTTTCGACAATATCTGGCCTGGGTCTCGGACACGCCTTATAACCTGATTTGTGTAGCTTGATGTATCATGTGTAAAAATGAAATATTTCATTTTCCCCTTACCAGTTCCACCATTAGGTATTTCCTGATCAACATCCATACTAGGCTCATACTGAGGATCTTCTTCATCTAAGTGGATGTCTGGCTGTTCTACTCTGATGATTGATTTGTTCAGTAATCTAGAAATAAACAATTCATTGTATGATATGTATATATAATCTATACACTCACAGTCTTCTTAGATTTTGTTGACTGTTTTACTACTTAATTTAAGAAGTACAATGGATTTTCAACAACAAGCTTAGATAAATTGCTAAACCGAAAGCCAAAATTAACAAGCTAAAGTGATTTTCAGCTGCCCAGCTGACTAAACCCAATGACCATTTCTTTAGTGTAGTTTGTGTTCTTGAATAAATCATCTTGGGGAGAATTGGGCATCCGCACCGATGGCGGTTTTTTGTGAAATATTGGTATAACTCCGGTCGAAGCATGGTACCCCACACTAGACATGTATGACGCAGTACTGTACCTGTATGCCTCGTGCACGTGTTGTGGCGTGACGTGTCCGCTGCAGTGCATCTTGGCCATGGCCTCGGCCAGCCGCAGCATGGACTCGAGCTGTCGCACGGTGATCCGCCACGCGCCGCCGCCGCCCGCGCCGCCGCCGTCACGCTGGCGCAGTACTGTGTAGTACTCTACCAGCAACTTGCCCGCTTCCTGTACACATATTATACGTTTACTTTTATACTAGCTATACTCCTGCTTCACAATTAATTGTAGCATGATGCGTTATGGTCTTCTTCGATTGTTGGAGTATCCAAAAAATGTAATTCCAACCAATAATTCCAGTGTTCAAAAACACAAACAATCGCTTCAGCTTTCTAATTAATATAGATATTATGGATTTTAATAGTAAAAATTAGACAGAATAGAAGATAAGTCGTATAAAGTAGTGAAAAAGACTAACCTCTGTAATAATAGGCTTGAACGACCGTGCAAAGGCGATGTACCTCAGCAGATCTTCCCTTGAATACACGCAATCGTAAGTTTCCTCTTTATTACAGTGCAGATCAACTATCTTCCTGGCGATAGCATAGTCTACCATCTCACTGCTTTCATCAATGAGGATGAAAAATAGATCGAACCGAGACATGATTGGTGCACTGAGTGCTACATTCTGTTGTAGGGACTTTGCTCTGTCGTACCGCCCGCCGATCGGATTGGCAGCGGCGAGGATTGAGGTACGTGCGTTTAACGTTGCTCGAACTCCAGCCTGGTAAAAGAGAGAATAAAAATATTATTAAATATTTGTATCGATGTTTTTAAAAAGCGGACGAACCTGTTTCCTCTTATACACAGTTTAGACAAAGTGGTCTAAGATGACCAACTAGTTTCAAGCTACATTGTGGCTTATAAAATCATGTAATGAAGCATACCTTGGCAATAGATATTGTTTGCTGTTCCATAGCCTCGTGGATGGCGACTTGGTCGACGACGTCCATTTTGTCGAACTCGTCGATACAACAGACGCCATTGTCAGCTAACATCAACGCGCCCGCTTCGATCACGAAGTCAAATGATTCTTCATCCTACAGAATAAAGGAAATTAGTATTATATCGTCTCATCGGGAAGAACGGAAGATAGGGACATAATTATGCCAAGAGCTTGAAAGCATGTAGGAAAAATGTATGACATATCGGTTATACATATTATAAAGCATTGTTGAATTGCTTTTAATTTTCAGTCAAGTTTAATCTCTTGATATAAATCCTCAAAATTTGTTTATACTAAAGTAGTCTCTAAACATCGGAAATAAGATCTATAATGGAGTTAGTGGAGAGTGGTCACCGGTGACTGGCATAAGGCACTGATGGCATATATTGTATATTAAACTTTTAAAGCATACTTTGACCACAGCAGCGGTGAGACCAGCAGCGGAAGAAGCCTTCCCACTAGTGTAGACGGCGCGCGGAGTGATCTCACTAACTTGCTTCAGTAGCTGGGACTTAGCCGTGCTAGGATCGCCCACTATGCACACGTTTATATCACCTCGAAGAGTTGTACCTAATGACAATCAATATTGTTATGTAGTTTTTACTTCTTATATACTAGGCTAAGGCAACTGGTACTGCGCAACGCATTGCAGGTTCGAGAGAGGCCAAATTGGCTATTCTTTGACTTTCAGTTCAAAAGATCGAAGTGGACTTGATCGCGGTCCGCCATGTCACGGTTGTGAGAGTAATCTCGACGAATGACGGGCGAGACTGCGATCGAGCTCAATTAGAAATATCGAATTGACAGTTACAGAATATATAGCCTAACAGTTCTTTGTATGTGATCCACAAATAGTTAGGCCAGGTCTGGGAGTGATGTACATGTATGTTTATAAATGCTATTTAAGAGAGAGTAAGGCAATGTACTTATAGTTCTCTTATGATCAAAATATTGTGTTACTTCAACAATACACTTATAATTCCTCTGGTGTAGAATGTCCCTGTCAATGGGCGGCGCAAATTGCTTACCATCAGGTGACCCGTCCGACCCCATATACATACGATAAAGTAGATTGATTAAAAGTAGTACAGTACCTTCAATGGTAGTTTTGGCGACGCCACCAAACAACATGAGCAGTATGCCTCTCTTCACTTCGTTGTTGCCGTGGATGCTCGGGAACAGGCTGGTGATCAGGTTGTTATACAGGTTGCGGTCGCGTGACATCTCGTAAACCTAGCGAAATCAATGATATTACTATCAGCACTTTTAAACATTAACATTGTACAATTTACTAGATGAGGCTATATTAGTTTGAGAGCAAATTAAAGGGGATGATTCATGGTAACCAGCAAAATGTTAATTTTCGTAATTTTTCGCTGTTTAAAGCTGCATTTATTATTTTGATTTTTTTATTGCAGAACTAATTTAAACTAATTCCTAAGAAGCCATGTACAAAATATGATAAGAATCCGCTAAAAAAGCAAAACCAAAAACGTTACCCCAGCAAAATTTCGAATAATTTCGCAACCGATGAAAGAACAAATACAAAATAAGGCACAAAATTTACTTCATCCTAGACAACTAATTTTATAGCTAGTAATTATTTAAATACATATTTCCATTAGAAAGAAGAAGGTCTGGCTGGGGTAACGTTACCCCAGCAGGAAATGTTTTTATGAAATAATTAAAAAAATATAAGCGCAACAAATTTAAGAATGTGCGCAACAATTACAAAAGCCGCAAAACTAATTATATCTATAAGATTCAAATGACCATTTTCGGCCTGGGTCACAGACACTAGATATTCAGCAATATTTTTGTTGATGCAGCAGACTTGTACGCGGCCTGTCTAGTGACCGGCCCGTTTATTTTTACGACCTCATAAATAAGGTCTTGAGGAATCTTTCTCTTTAGTCATCTAGCAACTGTTTGGGTGTCCATCAGGTTTTCTCCTAGCTTGTTTGGATGGCTTGTGATTTGGTCTTTGTACACTTAGTACTAGTTAAAACTTAAACATTTTCCCTTGTTATGTTTAAGTTATTAATTAATCTTATCTTATACTATTGTACAAAGCTGAATAGTTTGTTTGAACGCGCTAAGTCAAAGTCAAAAATCATTTATTTCAATTAGACCAGGAAGGCACTTTTGAACGTCAGCAATAGAAATTTAAAAGTGAAGCAATTTGCTCATTCCAAGGTGTAGATTCCTATGGAGAAGAACGAGCAAGAAACTCCATAGGTTACTCTTTTCCAATCAGTTTCACAATACAATTCTTCAGTTACACAGTTTTATTGGTTTGATTGTGCGAGAACAATGTAACACCAAATCTAGCCAAAGAGATCGAAAAAGAAAATAACCCTTAAAGACAATAAATAATACAGTCTGGAGCTGACCAGTCACAGTTGACGGCGCCCGTTCACGAACATGACACGTACACCAGCACCGCCCAACTCAACCATATTACAGGGAATCTAGCGACCCAATGCACGTGCCACCGCCAATGAGATCTTTGAGTGAACATGACAACTCCAAGCTGACATAAATGCATTCTACTAGTCCAATTTAATAATTAGTTAATTACAGGGCTCTCACATTAACAATGATTATGCAAGTTAAACAATATACATTTAAGCAACTACGTTGTAATATTTAGGTTGAATTTCATTGACACATCAATGTTTTTCGTTATCCCATGGAGCTGGACCAGCATGCATCCAAGCATTTTTATCTTCTATATAATCATTAATTTTGTAATATGCTAGCTAATCTCCAGAACTACTGGTCTGAATTGAATAAGTCTTTTTGTGTTGGATAGTCCATTTATCAAGGAAGGTTACAGGCTATAAAACATCACACTATGATGAATAGGAGCCGAGCAAAGCGGGTGAAACCACACGGAGTAGCTACTTAGCTAGTAATCCATATATATTCGTAAATCGGCAAACTTGATTATATACACACTGATTTCATTATTTTTAATTAGAGAAGAAAATACATCTTACCTTATCCCATTCTTTATCAGTCATTTGCTTTCTCATGTCCTCGGTGGTAAGGTCATCGGTGGCCATCTCAGCAGTACCAAATCTACGCGATATTGCTTGTACACTGCACGCTAAGAAGGCTGTTCTGTAATAAAAATGAATTTATTTTAGTATTGTTACTCATTTATTGTGAGGCAGAAACTTATAGTAGGCGATCTATAGTGTGTAAATATAACGCTTACAAAGATTTAGTTTTACAATTTAAGTTATTATGCTGTTCATGCAACATCAGCTTTGAGCAGTTGATTAGAAGTTTATTATTGTTGATGTGGAGGTTAGCCCCCTTCTAAATCTGAATTCTAAATCTCCTTCTTCCTCTTCTGCTGACTACTGACACTCTTTGTGTGTTGTCCTGAATATTGTGTGGGTGAAGATTGTATGCCAGTTGTGGATGTAAGCCTTGTGTGATGGTTGAGTGTCGTGTGGCGAAATGTTTATGACGAAAACTGTGTCTCCTAGTACTTTACTAAAGTCAAAGTCAAAATCATTTATTTCAATTAGGCCAGAATGGCACTTTTGAACATCAACAAAAACAAAAATTTAAAGTGCAGCTATTTGCTCATTCCAAGGCGTAGATTCCTATGGAGAAGAACGAGCAAGAAACTCCATAGGTTACTCTTTTTCAATCAGGTTCACAATACAATTTACTAGTTACATAGTTTTGCTGTTTGGATTGTGCGAGAACAATGTAACACTAAGAATGAATGCTGTATGAATGGCGGCTTGCTTCTGTAAAATTATAATGTCTATTGATGTTTCTAGTTTGTCTGTGTATCTGCTGGGGCTTTTGGCTACTACGCCTGTGGCTCCAATTACTATGGGAATTTACTATTATTACATAATAAAAATAATTTTATTTGTTACTTATTTGAAAAACATTTTTTTTTATCATCTTCGTTTTTTGAAAGTTTTGCATTTACACCCTGTGTAGGTAGTTTAGATAATAAGAAATATAAAAAAAAAACACTAAATGTTCTACACACTAATAAAGGCTTATAACTCAGTCTTACAAAAATGTACATTCTAATAAGATTCCATACTTTAAACTTTGGATATTAAAACAATTGTTATCCAAAACATCTTTTCAAATTATGTGAACTATAGCTGACAGTAAAATTAAATACAACTCACTTATAATGCAGTTCTCTGACACCTAAGGCCTTCAGTCCCTTGATACCTTCCATCTGACCATCATTTCCCTGTCTAGTTCTTGTAGTGAGTTCTGCTTTAGCTCCCGGTAATGACAGGGAGCCTACATCAGGAACCACTATCAGAGTTCCAGTGAAATCATAACGATCACCAGCCTGGAAGTAATATTTTATAATAATAAAATACAAGTAAAAGGATTTTGAATGGTATGGTTTTGTAAAACAGATTTTATTTTAACAATGTCACCCTGAAATTGTACCAACCTGTTCTATCTGTTACACACACACAGATGATGATGATAATTTGTGTATTCATATGTATATTATTACTGTAATATATGTATTGTACTGTGTATTATACTGTGTATTGACACATTGGTATTGATATCAATACTTGTGTGTGTGTATTGATATGTATCATGATGTAAAGCTATTTCTTTCATAAAATAGATCAGGTGCATGAATATTTAAAGTACTTAATTCAAACTAAAATTGAAAATAGTTCATACTACTTCAATAAATGTATGATAATATGTGTAGATCCATACCTGCACAGATTCCACAGCTTCAGCCCTCAATATAACTTCAAGGGAGCGAGGAATGCATCCTCTGGGGAGTTCAGCCTGTGTCTCTTGAATGCGGACTTTTTGGAAGTCAACAAACACAGACTTGTCCGCATCCAACATAAAGCGGCGACGGTTAGCACATACTGGGTTACGGCAGATGGCTGGGATTGTATACTGTACACAACAACTTCAAATTAACACCAACTAGGTAATTTGGCATTTAGTATCATCTTAATGCAATTTTACTAAAAATGATAATAATACATATATAGTAATCTAATAAGAAAACAACTTAATTCATTAAACTCACCTTGAATTGCTGTTCAACATTTTTGATAACTGTCTGACAATCCAAACAGACAAAGGTGCCCAAGACCAGCTCAGGGTGCACTGGGTGGGTCCTCACAATCTGTCCTGAGATTCTAATCAATGTACCAATCTTTGCAGTAGTCAGTTCTCTCACTTTATGTCTAGTGGGCACATCAACAAATGAAATGTAACACTCCTTGCCTTGCAGCTCCTTCTTCACACCACTATCAGCAAGACTTAACACATAATTCAATATAGCTTGATTCAAAAACGGATATATTCTGTAATACTCTTCAATAATTGTGGTAGCAAGATTCTGATTGTATTTTTCAACATCATCGAAACTGACCTCTAAGGTACTTAATTCAGGTTTTAGCAGTTCTTTAGCCGCCTTTTCGTATTTCACTTCATTATCTTCTTTGAACCTGAGTTACAAAATACAAACTAATAAGAAAAAAACATAACCTCATTGTTGTTGCGAAGTTTGAAAATGTTAAAAATATATATAGATAGACCTCTTAGAATCGTATGACAATACTTACTCATCCAAGAAATCCTGGAAAAGCTTTTGGCATCGAACTCCAACCTCGTCTTTGACTTGGCTTTGTGTGGCGTAAGTATCGGCTACATCCATTTTTTTTACAAAGCGTAGTATTTATTCACAAATATTCAAATTTAACACACTTTGGGAAAAGATAACTTGATTATACTTAATACATAATCAACACATAACGAAAACACTTAATATTATCACTGGGCTTGTTCTTTATTGTTGCGCGTTGGAAACCATCATGCTTCTATCTATTACTTTATAATGTGAATAGTTAACGTGTTACCTTCTATCAGAAAGAATGGATTTACGAATGCTAAATGTAAAACTACTTCTTTGAAAGTTTATATCGTACTAAAAAGTAAACTAATACAAAAATGCGCGAAATCTAGATCGAAGAACGCAATCACAATCGCGTTTTTCAACTTTTGACATAAGAAAATACGGTGTAAGTTTTGGCGGGAATTATATTAGCTACAGGGTCGTTCAGAAATAAAGTAATAAAATCAAAGCCTCCCATACAAAGACTGCTCGAGCAGTCGACATTGATAAAAATGATTACTGCTCAAGCAGTAAGTAGTTTCAATGTTATAAAAAAATGACTTGCAATGAAGAGCACGGATGGGGTTGGTTGAGGAGGCGACCGCACGAGAGCTGTCGACAGCACGAGCAGTCAGTATAATAATATGAGGCATACACCATGACTGCTCGAGCGAGCAGAAGCAGATAAATAACCAAACGCCAGGCATATAGTGTGCTTGGTGTCGGCTTATTTATATATTGGGCTTTGGCTTGGCGGCATTGTGAAATGTCAACCGCCCAAAACAGATTGGGCCCAGCTGATCCTGACTTTAAACAGTCCGTATCATGCATGGCAGGCCTTAGAGAGCTCACGGTAGTATGATCAAAAGGTGCGCGACGCCTGCCTGCACATTTCATAATTACATGCTCTGTGCACATTTCATTGGTCACACTCGAATGTAATGTCAGAGACACATTGTGATTTTCTAACCTCAAATTGAAAGAAATAAATAAACAAAAAGTGAACCTGGTGAACAGAAGTAGTATATGTGCAATTGGATGTTGTGTTTAAATTAATTTGTTCATGATGACGGAAGCACAAGTTGGTTTTCTGTATAACATAGCTTCAGTCGTATCGCGTTTGGAAATCAATGAATCAAAATCATTGTTGCAAAGTTATTACTTGTAAGTTTAAGTACAATTTTTAGTTAATTATTTTATTTAAGTGCCTTAAATTTGTTTTGATCTTGCTGGCTTTTATAGAATGCGCTGTAAGGAAATAACGAGAGGATATGGTCTCCCCGACAAATACTTTGCTACGAAGATAAGATGTCCTAAATGCTGTCTTGATGGAAGGACTCTGAAGTAAAGGTATTATTTAAAGTTGTATGAATACAATGAATTTTAGTTTTAAATGCATTTTTGTGTAACCACATAACTTTTTCAATAACTTAAGGTACTTTCTTCCAGATAAATCCTATATTATTAACAAAACGCCAAAAGAAGAGACTGAAATCACGTCAAACGAAAGAAAACAAAAAAGAATTTATAAGACGGAAACAAAATTTAGTACACTGTAATAAAGTAGTAAGTATTTAATCAAATGCAAGTAATTTAAGTGTTGAGAATCTATCTAAAGATAAGTTATTAATTCAAACTCTTTTTTTTTACAGGAACAAATATGTACTTTCTGTAAAAAGAGTACATTCACAACTTCCATAAAGCCACAAAAAGAAGTTACTGCAGTTGAAAATACTGAATTACCTGATAGCACAACTAAAATAGAGCATAATGATACACCTAAAACCAATAATAATGTACAAAAGCAAGTGCCAAAGAACAGTAAACCAGCCAAGAAGAAAGAAATTAATGTGTATTCCAATGCCTTAGATGTGTTTTCATTGAAAAACAAAAATAATGCTTTGGTCACCAAGGAGCCACCAAAAGTTATTAAGAATAATAAAAAGAAAAAGGACAAGTTTGCAGGATTGTGCCAAAAGGCTGTATTAGCTTCAGCAAAACTGAAATCAAAAGAAGAAACAAAAAAAAGTAAACTCAGTCTATTTTTAAAACCATCTTCATAGAAAATAAACACATAAACAATATAAAAATATATTAAGCAACATAAAAATATAAATGATATTAAACAATATAAAATTTATTGATCCCTTGTTTTTCTTGTAATAACTATAATATGTATATCCATTACATTAGTGTTTGTATGTCCTGTAATAACATGAAACTGTCCATCAAAATTATTGTGGTAGAAGTTGTAACTGTCATTTTCGCACAAGTACTTCTGGTAGTCAATATTCTTCTGTTTAGCATCAGAAATTAAATTTAGATGTCCTATAGCACCAGCTGCATCAGTGGGGCCATCAATTCCATCAGTACCAGCACTTAGGAAGTGAACATCAAATTCTTAAAGTTATCTTTGTTATTATGGATGCACTCTGAAAATTCTAAAGCCAATTGTTGATTTCTGCCTCCTTTCCCAGATCCTTTTACATTCACAGTTATTTCTCCACCAAGTATTAAACACAAATTTTTATCTTTAGGTGTCAAATTGTCCAATTTTTTCTCATGAATTCCAGGAATATTACAAGCTTTGACACATTGACTTAAATTTTCTAAGTTTATTTTTCCAGATAGATAGTCGCATAAATGTTGTGTTAGTTTGACATATTCAGAGGCAACTTCTTTCACATTTCCTGTAACTTCATTAGACAGGGGAAAAGACAGATAATTTAATTTCTTTGCTTCTTCCGAAGCTGCAGCTATAGCAATTTTGTTAGATCCAATAATAAGTTTTTAACATTATCAAAAGGAAATTGATCTTTAACACTATTATCACTTAAAACATTTTTGATTGATTCTGGAAGTTGATCCATTAAATTATATTTGCTAATTATATCCACAGCATCAGATGGATTGTCTGTATTTTCTGTAGTGGGTCCACTTGCTAAGAAATCTATTGGGTCTCCTACAATATCAGACAAGAGCAAACATATAACTTGAGCTGGTTGGGCCTTAATTGCCAGCTGACCTCCCTTCAAATCCGATATCCGTTTTCTGACAGTGTTTAATTCTTTTATTTCTGCACCACTGTTAGCTAATTGTTTTATTAGGTTAATTTTCTCATAAGATTAATGGGAGGTTTAGGTAATGGCATAAGAGCTGATCCTCCACCAGATAACAAAACTAAGAGCAAATCATCACAGCCAAGGTTCGTGACATGATCTCTGATAGCCTTAGCTGTGATTACAGCATTAGCGTCTGGAAGATTGTTTAGAGCACCTTCATAATAAAATATATTTTCATTTTTTGACTTATAACTGAGGGTGCCGTCTGGTATACTTATGATTCCATGTTTGATTTTTCCATTCAAGATTCTCTCAACTTCTTTGGCCATGTTTTGCACTGCTTTTCCACTTCCGACCAAATGAACATTTTTATTACGTAAGCAAAAATGTTCGCCGCCTATAATTAACTGTTGGCTTGAAGGATTATATTTCACGGACCTTCTTATTAGATGATCTGGAAGCACTGCAGATACACTACTTGCGAAAATCTTTCTCATGTCAAAAACAATTTGTTTAGACATTTTTGTGTATTGTATATCTTTTTGGCACTTTAAAATTCAAACTTGCTATTAAAAATAAGTACCTATATCAAGTATGAACACTGATAATGAATTGAGATACGTCTTTGCGTCTATCGGAAATATTTAATAACGTTATCATTTTACAGGTTTTAGATGTTTACATTTACTACTGTCAAAATTGTCAATAGTAGCACTAATAATCATGTCATAATTATTTACATTGACAAAGTGAAACAGACAGTTTACAGTACTAACCTCCGCCTAGTTGATTAACAAATTGCAAAAATGTTTCTCACGCAACATAAAGTTCGTGCCTATTCAAAAGTAAACACTTACAAACTATCTAATATAAAAAATTGAAACTAAAAATACTGATGTAGTTTTAAAAAGTTTTCTAAATTAAAAAACCGAACGTTTCAGATAACTAAACGTTCATCATCAAACAAACACGTCGCGACAAGTTGCCGCCTTGTCAGATTTGTTTGAAAATAAAAAACCTTCAAACCACCGAGGACGTAATAGTAATAACATATTTTTATTTATACATTTCAATAAAATAAATAACAATAATTATGGAAAGTCCAGTTTGTTTGTCACAATATTTTGTAAATAAACAAAATGTTCGGTCTTTTAGCAATATAATAAAATGTAATATTTTGAAACACGAAAGTGTAGAAGGTTTCGTTGAATTTATCTTCGGAGATGGTGTCTCGGTGAGTGATTTACCACCTGATTTTATCAATATATTATCAGTAATTAAAATAAATCTGAGAAACAAATCAAAATTAGATTTCCATGACTACTTTCCTGTGAATAGTATTCCACAATTACGTCCTGTCGACAAAGAGTATATTTTAAATAATTGTTGGAAAGCAATAAATGAAATATTTCCAAGAAACTTTTATGGACATGATAATAACAAAAAAATTATCAAGGATCATCTTCGAACTGTGGTTTATAGCATGAAACGGCAGCATTTTATTCTTCAAAGAATTATTGTTGGATGGGATTTGGAAGTGGTACCTTGGAAAAATCTTATAACTATCAAAGCAAAATTAATATTATTCAGGATCTTATTTTGGCTGACCAAATATGTATTATCTCCAATGATCTGCCTTAACTTTTATGTTACAACATGCAAACTAGATGCTAATGAAAACAAACTTCATTATTTTTGGAAAAATCAATGGCAGAGCTTTTATGATAAACAAGTTTCTAAAATGGTATTTAGTAAGGTAATGAAGAAATGTGAAATAAATTCACTGGGTAAAAAGACAAAGAAAAACCACAATCTAGCAGATAGACTAAGACTAAAAATGTTGAAGAGAACTGTTCCAAAATTATATTTAACATTGAAGCCTAACAATGACTGCAGACCAATTGTTTGCTACAAAAATGAATTACTAAGTCAATCAGAAAAATATAGATTTAAAGACAGATTAAAATTTTTGAGATCATTGACTGGAAAACCGCCATTAAAACTAGAAAATCAATACAAAACATTGCATGCTAAATGGGTAGCTGCAAATAAGCCCAAGCTTTATTTTATTAAGACTGACCTAAGTAATGCTTTTGGTTGCATTAATAGAGAAAAGTTATCAAAAATATTGTCTGAGAAACATATAAATATGCAGAAGACTGAAAAGTGTATTGGTACGAAGAAAAAAATTGCTCAACAGTATAGAGATCTAGTAACAGAACTGCGGAAACCAATCTTGATTCGTGCTGGATCCACAGTTTACGAGTGGAAAGAAGGATTAGTTCAGGGTTACAAATATTCCCCAGCGTTATCTGAATTATATTACACATATCTGGACGAAATATACTTCTGTGAACACATGAAACAAACACATAATCAAGTTAAATTGTTTATTCGAGTGGTTGATGATTATCTGTACATTACAAATTCTTTAGCAGATGCTAGATTGTTTTTAAATGCATTATCTAATTATCGAAATGTGAACCATGAGAAAACTACAGTCAATTTTCCTCATGAAAGCATAAAGCAAAGTGAAGATATATTTTTCCTTGGGTACTGTTACAATACTGTAACTATGCAAGTGAGTAGGGCTAATAACATATTTGCTGGACAAATGTGTTATAAAATTGCATTTACAAGTGGAGTTTCTGAAATACACAAGTTTATTGAGAGTCGGATTGGTCAATCAGGGATTCCAATTAACAGCCACATCTTTAATTTGAATTATAATAATGAAGAACTAATATGGAAGCACATATTTACTACATTTTGCCTATCAGCTAATAAATTATGTACCATAATGGCAATACTATGCAATGAACAAGAAATGAACAACTTTTTATGGCTGTACAAGAAGAGGGTAGCTGTAAAATTAAGTAATTCCATGATAGAAATGTTAATAAAAAATAAACCGTCTGATTTTATTTTTATGTACTGCATTAACCATTTTAGATATCTTTCATGGAAAGCTCTTTATCTATGTGCAAAACAAACTCCAAAATGTAGTGGGCTAGTGCCTGCTGTAAACGATGAATTGAGAAAATCCGATTGTATATTTGGAAAGTGGCGGGAACACGCAAGGAGGATTGACACAAATGGGGAATGTGAACGTAAATCGATAAGAGAAGTATGTCGGAGATCTGATTTACGGAAGATTTTCCGAGAGTTCGATGTTTTACCTAAAGGATTTGAATGTTATCATCATAAAAGATTATTGTAATTGTAATAAAATAAATATGTATAGTGTTAAAAATATTTTATTTCAAAAAAATACATAAAGCTATTCACTTGGACGGTATAAAAATGATTAAAAATAATATCTAGATTGTCTAGGCACACATTTGGACGGATGTAAAGAAGTTATAGCTGCAAAACACAAACAACTTATCCTAAATCAGGTTACTTCATTGTCTTAGATTATAATATCATAGCTCAGATCTATTAAGTCACTTAGGAATGTCTTACAAAAGTATATCACTTACAACTATTACATGTTTAAAAAAACAAATTATTTATTTTTGTAAAATATAAAGTAGATAAAACTCAATTGTACATCACTGTCTTCTGCTTGGTACATAATAAATATAACATGTCTTAAAACATACATATTATAATCTTCCCAAGAATAAAAATAAATGCCATAAAATCTTTAATTTATCAGCTGCTTACTGGTATCAGTTGTGGTTATCTTAAGCATAATTTTGAGGTAAATCTATCTTAATAAAGCTAAGAAAAATAGGGAAATTCCTAATAGATGTCCCATTACACCGTTGCTGTATGCATGGGACAAGAAGTCAGGATCGGACGCTACGTAATATGAAGCTTGTGGAGCATCACAGGAGACAATTCGAGCTGCTCTTATTAATGCTGGGCCAGCTACAATTTCAGCTGATCGTTTGCTGTGAGCCAAAGGTTTCAGGCGTACAGCCACGTCGCTGAATATAAGATCGGAGTAAGGCGGTTGAGAATAGAACATGCTGAAACTGAAAAAAAAAATAGGATTTTAATTTTTGCGTATTTAGGTTACCTTTTACGTGTGTAGGTGACTCAACCTAGTGAACTAAGGGGCTAATTCATAACTAAAGACTTATTTTTATTACCTACGCCATAAAAATAGACTATTATTTTGTGCACAGGAATGAGATAGTTTCATATGATTAAAATTCCAAAAGAAAAGATAGTTTTTTATGTTTCATGAAACAGCAAGCATAAACAACCAAGTATTAACATTTACTGAGTTTAAAATGTTTGTATGACAAACGAGTTGCGATTACTTTACAGTACTTATTAACATGAAAATATTACTATTTACCTGAATTCATCAGTAGTAACAGCTCCATAGAATTGCTGAGCATACACCATCAAGTTTGAGTATGTATCCAACTCTGTATGGTTAGGTCTGCCCATTAGAACCGATCCAGGCACCTTGCCTAAGTTACAGTGCTTGTATTCATGCATTTTTGCGCGAGTACCTGTAAAACACAATGTGTATAATACTCGAAAAACAAATTTAATGAATGTAATGAATTTTGTAATCCATTCATGATAATAACATAACAATGTTTTTATAATAACTATCGTGAGACGTCCTAAATTAACTAGAAATCGCGGGTTACTCAAGTGAATATACTGCGAAAAGCTCTACTAGTTTCGGACCACAGAGGGGTTCTTCTTCATGAGCAGCGTCCGCGGTCGCGGCGATGTCGCGCAGCCGACTGAGTCAGTCAATTAGTCGAGCTTTTCTCAGTATATTCACGCGAGTAACCTACGATTTTCAGTTAACATACCATATTGTCACGCCTTTTGATCCCCGAAGGAATAAGTGGAGGCACAATTAATTTAATGTAACATCCAAATTCGAAAATAATATTAAATTCGTGCCACATGCTCATTATTCGCGTGAATTATTAGCAACTAGCTAAAGTCAAAGCAATTATTTCAATTAATCTCATCGAGCATGGGTGGAGACCCATGCTGTTCCACAAACTGCTCGGTTCCTATTGATCGTAGCATTTTTTATAGCCTATAACTTTCTGTAATGAATTAAATATCCAAACTAATTATTCAATTGAAACCAGTAGTTCCGGAGAGCTTGTTCAAAAACTCTTGCACTGAAACTTACCATCAGGACATAATAGCTGCAGGTCGTCGGGTAAGAGATCTCTGGCCCACCACTCCCGACGTCTTCCAGCAGACACTTCAGCTGGAGCCGAGTGACGGACAAAGGCCACGTCCCCACCTCCCTCTACCATACAACGCACCGCGCCTACATGGCCGAAGTAGTCTTCACTAGCGTCGCGACGGCAGCGCCTGGGTAATTAAATGAGGAACATATCAATACAAGCCTGTATATTTGCAGGGATAACACAGACAGACTTATAAAAATACTGGGTTTTACAGTGGGTAGCAAGACAACCTATTCTTTTTTGTCTTTCTTTATTAGATTATCAACTCCATCGTTTAGGGATAAAGTCGAAAATCCAATGTTAAAAATAACACATTGGAGTTGATGTACTGGCCACAGCACCTAAGTTGGCAAGTAACACACGGCTACACATTGATTTATACAAAACTACAAGTATTTTACTAGTAGTTAACCCAGGGGTCTATCAGCCACCTTCAGACTCCATCATCAGACCAGTGCAACGGTTCATAGCATTGTTTGGTCATCTAATCTACACAAATGGTGATTAATGCTCATACGTCCTCCGTGTGAGTAGAGGACTTTGTTCAGCAGTGGATACTAGTAGGCTGGTGTTGATGAAGTTGGATAAAAGCGTGTTATTTATAGAAAAGTAAGGAAGCAGCTTCGGTTGCGTTCCAATGTGATAAAAATAGCCTATAAAGTGTTATTCCCGACCATAATCTACCTTTTTTTCAAATTACATCTCGATTCCTTCAGCCTTTTTGATGTGATTGAGTAAGAAATAGACACACAAACTCACATTTACAATATTCGTAAGAGTATTTACCTGAAGGACGCGCCATGACAGAGATGACATAGGTTATCGTGCGGCACGGTGCCGGAGTCCACGTACTCGGCACTGAGTGCGCCGGGCGCGCACGACTTGGTGAAGTACTCCGCCGCCGCGTGCGCTCCGTCGCAACCGTATGACCTACGAAATATTACGTTCGTTTTCAAATAAAATAAAATTGTTTTCAAAAACCTGCTTAGCATTTTTAATCAATTTCAGCAGCATCGGGTGAAGATATCTGCTTCAAAATATAGTTACAGAATTCACACACATATATAGATTGTAAATTAAAAGTGCTGTTACCTGATCCATCCATTAGATATGAGGTAAGCAAGCGGGAACACCCATCCAGCGGCCATCCCCAGTCCAGTGTGGCAAGCATTTTTCCCGCGCAAGTACGTTAGGTCTGTATCGGGATCTTGTTCTTTGGCCACAGCCACTGCATAGTACCAGTTGTCACCGCTTGAGTAGATCTGTGATGGGAAAGAAATTATTATTACTTGGTAGCTTTTCTTTTATTATAAAAAATGTATGATGTGTGTCTATTGACGTACTTGATACATGCTTTAGATTTCGCTCTTCGGCTACTAAAATGTAAATTTAAGATTTTTTGAAAATTGTTACTTCTATTTATAAATTGAAATCTAAGTTTAAAATAAAACACTTAAGACCTCTTCGATACGTTTAGACTAGGAAGGTACTTTGGAAGTCAATTTTTTTATGGGATACGCTGGTACCTAAACGACTTGACGGATCACCTGATGGTAAGCAATCGGCGTCGCCCATGGAAACCTGGAAAACTGGGGGTGTTACCAAGTGCGTTACCGGCCTTTTAAGGATTAGGAATTTGAGGATGTTGGGGAGATTGAGGAGTGTAATTTGTCCTCCGGTAACCTCATTAACACGACAAAATATGTATAACGCAAGCGTTGTTTCACGTCAGTTTCAGGCCGTGGTAACACTCCGGTCGAGCCGGCCCATTCTTGCTGAAGCAAGACTCTCCACTTGAAAATAAGACACAACTTGTCAGTATAAGTTAGCTAATATAAGTTTACCTCCTGCATAAAAGGCACCAGTCGATGCATGTTGGCGGCGTGCAACATGTCAGCGGCGTCGAAGAGCGCGAAGTCGGCCGCGCCCTCCGCGATGGCGCGCTCGCAGTGGCGCGTACTGTGCCCGCGCCAACACACCAGCGTGGGCGACAGGAACGCTGCCTTCAGGGCCACCTGCACGGACGTTTGGAAATACTCATTTGATGCCAATTTCAATAACCTATTTCAATCTAAAATTCGGATTAAGATCCTTCTTTGGTCTAAACTCCATATAAAAATCATCATCATCATAACATCACGCCTTTTATCCCCGAAGGGGTAGGCAGAGGTGCACATTATACCACTGAACAATGTAACACCCACTTTTCACTATTTATGTTATGAGTCCCATGTAATAGGGGGTGAGCCTATTGCCATATAGGTACCGGGCACAATTCCAGACTCCGTGCTACTACTGAGAATGTTTAAAAACCCAGTAATACTTTGCCCGACCCGGAAATGGAACCCATATAAAAAACAATGTTCAAAATTGATCTTTATCCATAGAATGGTCCTCTCGCGTCCGGCCCTAGTGCGGGCCATGATGCGGAGTGAGAGGGACTGGGATGCCGTCTCCTCTTTTTGCGAAGTAGTCATGCTAACTAAGGAGGAGGCGGGGCGCATGAGGCAGCAAAGCGCTGCCTCCTCACAACCCAGCCGTCGCGAAGGACACTCCGGGTATCGGGGATCGCGAGACGATCTCCGGCCACTGTAAGCGCGAGCCTGCGGACGGCGAGCATGGGTGGCTCGCCGCCCGACCAGAACCAGACCCGAGCTTACGGAGCGTCGCGTTCCATGCGCGCCTCATAGAGCCATCAGACCACCACGGATGGAGCCCAATAGGGCTGATGCCGATACGGAGTCGCGGAGAACCTAATGGGTTACCGGGGCTCCGGCTCGAAGTGCAGGAGCTCAGTAATAGTCTGACACTCCCTCCCGCCTCACCCGGGCGGGAGCATTCATTCGATGATTTTACCCCCTTAAAAAAAACCATAGAATAGTAGTCAGTGAGAGTCTGACATTCCCTCCCGCCACACCCAGGCGGGAAGTCAGTCGATGATTTTCCCCCCTTAAAAAAAAATTGAGGTAGGTCATCGAAATTGGCAGCAATACTGAACTTAATATAACCCGTTTATTGAGGAATATTGTAGTCTATAAAACATTACACCTACGATCAACTGAAGACGAGCATGACTTCAACCCATTACATCATTATGAAGTAATAGGGATAAGTTCAATTTAACTGTAAAATGTATTGGCATAAGCTTTAAATTATGTTTTTAGTAATTACTTACTCTCATTTTAAGACACTTGTCCATCTCCTGGTCGCTAGTGACACACAGCGTGGCTCGCTTTATAGGACAGTCTCGGATGGCTAGCACTGCGTTCTCTGCTTGCCCGCCTACGAACTTATTGTTTAGTATATGTTTAGCCGCCTGTTCCTCTTCTTTTAGTACTCGGAAATTTATTGTTGCGTCCTGTGGAAGAAAGTAAAAATGTGTTATTGTTATTCATCCTTACAACTTATCAGTGACATCTAACAGTTCATTTAAGTTGATCGTTTAGGTGCTACATCATGCTACTAAGTAACTATTTGGTAAAAGAGATGGTTTGTGAAAACGTCCATAAGTATAGACAAAGATAAAGATTATTTATTTGTAAAAACACGTGTGTGTTTCTTTGTTTTTTTTTTGGCTTTCATTATTGTTAGGTACTATCTATATAAGTATCTGTATTTATTTCTTCTTATTACTACTGTCGAATAAATGCTTTTTCTTTTTTTTTAATAATAATACATCATAGAATGCATATTATAGGCTGTACAGATGAGCAGTGAGCATAGTATCAACATGTTTGACCATTACTGGTGTATAGCTTTACGAATTGGGGCTATCATTTGTGTTCACCAGATAATGGTGTATATGTAGGAAGGGGATATTTTGTCCAATCACAGCAGTTGTCAAATATTGAACGTCCAATGGTGTGCTAGACTAGCTAATTTGTTATTGGACAAATAACGAGAGGATCACACTAGCGCCGCCTGGTGGGCAATACGGTAAGCCCCATTATGATAAGTAAAATTGTGTTACCTGTAGCAACAAATCCGTAGTTTCGTTGGATCTGAAAAGCTGAAATATTGATTCGATAGGTTGTCCTGACGAGTCCACTCGGTTCTTGAAAGGCGGCATAGTGCTTGCTCTAAGAGAAAAAAAGAATTGCTTAAAAATAAACACTAAATTGTTAGAGAAGGTTGCTCAACTAATTTCCAACTATGACAGGGGCCCATAAACTTGCCCGAAGTCATTACACGGACGCTGGTAATTACTGTTTACTTTACTACTCGATTAATTTACACTTATATTATGAAGTTGAAGAGTTAGTTTATATAAAGGCACTATTTCAAAGATCTTTGAAACCACTGGTTCGAATTTGAAAATTCGTTTTGTGTTCCATAGTCAATTTATCGAGAAAGGCTATGGCTGTAAAACATCACGCTACAATTAATAGGAACCGAGCAGAGAGTAACTAGTTTATCATTATTATTATAACATAGATTGTGTTACATTTTTTTTATGGAATAGGAGGCAAACGAGCACACGCATCACCTGATGGAGCACACGCATCACCTGATGGTAAGCGATTAGCGCCGCCCATGGACACCCGCAACACCAGAGAAGTCACAGGTGCGTTGCCAGCATTTTAAAAAGGAATACGCTCTTTTCTTGAAGGTTTGAAGGTTGTATCGGTCCGGAAATACCGCCGATGACAGATCATTCCACAGTTTTGCTGTGCGAGGCAAAACGCTACGTGAGAAGCGCACATATTATAGTTTATACTTACTTATTATTCATATCCTCTTCAAATTCATTCTGTCTGTTATTGAAGTTACTGTTTAATCTATTATCTCTGTTGAAACTGTCGAATGGAAACCGCGAAGGCTCAGTAGACGAGTAGGGGTTATAACCACCATTTTGGTAACCATTCGTTACATTATTGTAGTTCTTATTAAGAGGGTTCGGTTCTCCATATAGTTGGTATATCACTTGTAAAAAGTCTTGGTATCTGTAAAAAAATATGTAAAATATATTTTGAACTTTATTGCTTAGATTTCTGAGTCGAAAATTGACATTTGGTGTGTTGTCAATACTTAATATAATCAGACTTCAGCCTGTCTAAGGTAAGGTACACACGGCCACACATCAATCTATACAAAACCAGTTTATCCCAGTGTCGCGTCGCATCATCTTTCCACACATTTAACGTTCAGTTTATACTGGTTATGTAAAGCTCGATGTGTAGCCGTGTGTACAATTATAATTTTAATTTCAAAGTAAACACGCAAAGGAAAAAAGATAACGTACTTTTTCCTCTGTTCCATAGACACAGCACTGCTGGTGACGATGGCATCAGCCGGGACTCGACCCCAGTTGCAGTTCTCCGAATCCGTCACAGGACGTCGTGATCCATCTCGACAGATTATCTCGAATTGATCTTCTGTTACACCACCTGAGATTCATAAAAAGACAATTATGCAAAAGTACGTATAATGAATATTATTATTTTTATAGGATAGATAGGTGCTCCCACACGAAAATGTTTGATTAATGGAGGCTACCGTATTTTTGGTCACCAGTAGGCGCCAATGTAGTAGGAGTTTTTTTGTCCAATCTCAACAGCTGTTAAATATTAAACGTCCAATTGTGTGACACTGGCTAATTCCCTATTGGACGAAGAACGAGAGATTCACACTACCATGTGGTGAGCAAAAATACGGTAGACCCCATAAAAGTGTCTGCATATACTTTTTTTTATACTTTGTTATTTTTTGTTCTATTCTTTACCCACTCTTTTATATTTAAATAAGTTTCTGTACTTTTTTTTATAATCTTTGTATTTGTACCTGGCAAATACATGGTTTTTTCTTTCTTTCTTATATTTATTTTAAGAGTGTTTTATAACTCTCGCGTGAAACCGCGCAGTAGTACTACTGATAATACACAATAGGGATGACAGAGTATCAAAATTAAAAATCTAATTAGTCTGTCAGTTAGGTAATGAAAAAAATATTAGACACGTATTTTTTATTTTGTCGTATAAGAAAAAAAAACTTAGATAATACGAATCAAAGTTTAGGAGTGGGAGGTAGCTACGTTATTTTAGAGTAAAAATCGTACTCAAAAGTTACGTCATACGATATTTCAAATCAATATATCTTCGAAACTATTCGTTTCCGTAAGAAAATAAAAAATACGTGTCTAATGTTAAATAATCTACCAGACGGACATTAAATAAAAATTAGTCATCTACTCTATTACTTACCAAGTATTTGGTGGGACAGCAAAGCATGTTGTACAGTAGTGTCGCGAACGAAGGCGATATCTCCCGAGTTATTGGCAATGAGACAACGCAGTGCGCCTTCGTAACCAGCGTAAGGATCTGCCAACGTACATCGTATCCCAGCCCCGCCCGAACACAGCTTGCATAATCTGGTTTAGATAAAAATGTGCTTTATTATAAGTAAGTTTGGGTGTATTTTAGAAAACGTATGAACGCTTTATTTAATTTAATCTTTAAGGGCCAGTTTTAGAGATTTATTATCATATAAAACCTTAGAATAAGGCAATAAGGTTCATTATTTAGTGAAACAGTGAAAAATACATTTATGCTCAGGGCCGGATTTAGGGGGGGGCAACCGGGGCGAAAGCCCCGGGGCCTCCACAAGCAGGGGGCCTCCACAATAGAGACTTCGGAAAAAAAAATCTTTCTTTCAACTAGTAAACCTAGTAAACATCTTTTCTTTGATATTTTTTTTTCGCTTTTACCTTTACCTACAGCCTAAAGTACTTTATACATACATGATTATTTGATTATTTTAATTTTAAATATTAACATAAACAGAAATCATTGATCTATATTTGTTCACTCCAATCAGGCAATCAGTGAAATATCAAAATCTCAAATGGCTCTGATAAGCACTTCCAATGTACTACCCATCTTGAGGGAGTACCCCAATGGCTCAATGGCTCAGTAGGATGGTACTTGCCCGCAACCTCGGAGGTTAGCTATTCGATTCCGTGTCTCGACCATTAAAAAAAAAATATATATATACATATAAATTAATTGCAGTATGTGAACAATTGGTATTCTTCAATTCTTAAACTCGAAATCTGTCGAGCGTCCTCGAAATCTATCGAGAGTCCTCGATCGTTTTCGAGCGTCCTCAAAATCTATCGGGCGTCCTCGAAATCTATCGAGCGTCCTCGAAATCAATCGAGCGTCCTCGATCGTTTTCGAGCGTCCTCCATTGTTTTCGAGCGTCCTCGAAATCAAGCGAGCGTCCTCGATCTCAATCTGGAAAATAATTTGGGGCAAGGGGCCTCCACTCCTTTGTTGCCCCGAGGCCTCTGGACCCCTAAATCCGGCCCTGTTTATGCTGCAGATTGTTTAAGACTAACAATAGAAAACAATGGCTACATTGTAATACAATCATCAACAGATCACGACAATTTTCTCTTGAACTGTAATTCTCCTCTACATAGGATTTGCCATAATCCCTAAGCTTGACAGGTGAGCTGGAGATCACAGTTTTAAAGAGTGTGTCGGTGCCCAATCTCTGACGAATACAATCCTATAGTCGGGTTTTATGACATCCGTGGGAGGATTAGGGGTGGTGACAAAATATAAATATATTTGGCCATCATTACACGGGAATATTGCGTCGGGGATAGTGACCCACGGAACTAGCATTGGATAATTGGGTACTTGCCAACTAGCCAAATTCAATACTTTTTTCGAACTGTCAAAAACGACAGTTTTCTATGAATTTTGTACGAGATTGTGTATTGTGACGTCACGTTTTTTTTGCGTTAAGCAGCATACTTACTTTTTTTTTTAATTTGCTGGATTAACTCGTCGAGTACCGGTTTTATAGACACAATTAAAGAACAATAGGTCGCGGTCACCGGTGACCGCTTGGTGTTTGACAGTTTAATACAAAAATTAAGTTGATCATAAAGTCAATGAAAGTGTGATTGCTTTTTATAATATTTTATTGTATCGAATAGTCAAAATAATTTAATTTTGATTAAGGCAAGTACCCGATTCCGAGTATCTGACAAATGTAGCTAATTCAAGTTTACCGCAAAAAATCTTAATTGGCTGCCACCGCCTTGACACGAGTTCATTAGTCGAATCATTTTTTAATATGTAAAAATGAGCTTTAAGTTCATTGAATTAATAAAGTTGTTAAGTTTTAACTATCCCCTGCAAAATGGACCGGTTGGTCCGGTAGCTGAGCAACCGCTTGCCGCGCAACGTCTCACGGATTCGATTCCCGCACGGAGCTACTCTTTGTGTGATCCACAATTTTGTTGTTCCGGGTCTGGGTGTAGTGTGTATGTGATATTGTGTTTGTAAACGCACCCACGACACCAGAGAAAGTCTTAGTGTGGGGCAAATGTTTGAAAATAAAATGGAAATGAGTTCTGGATCTAAGTATTTCAGATACGCGGCCTTAACGTATGGTAGATTTGCGGAATTGCATTATGCCTGACGATAGTAACTTATAACATAATGCTTATAACGAGCTTGTTTTAGGTTTAACGTTATCGATACGCTTATGACGTTCATCGCTCTGATTGGCCCGCTCCAATGAACCAACCAATCAGAGGGCTAAACGCAATTTTCGATCTCGTTAAATTTAAAACAAACTCATACTATCCCTCAGTACTTCTAAGCGAAGCGGACACCGGTGTCCTTTCTTCACCTTTTTTTCTTTATTATAGACCTTATTTCCAATATTTAGAGACTACTTTTGTATGAATCAATTTGTTCATTATTGTAAATAGGTTTAATTACTTACTTGTCAGAGTTATCTCCAATGGGATTGTACATATCTTTCAAGGAGTTAGGTGCGCAGGAGTCACCAAAGAACTCTATAGCTGATTTCACATGATTGTTGCAGTCTGTTATTTTTAAACCTCCTTCTTGCATTAACTGTAACAAATTGGATTTATCTAAATATAAGTTTTTGCTCGCGATTTAACACGCGTTAACTCATATATAATATAATCTTCCTAATTTTTTTTAAGTTGTAACATAACATAACATCACGCCCTTTATCCTCGAAGGGGTAGGCAGAGGTGTACATTATGCCACTGTACAATGTAACACCAACTTTTCACTACTTATGTTATGAGTCCCATGTAATAGGGGGTGAGCCTATTGCTATATACCGGGCACGATTCCAGACTCCGTGCTACTGCTGAGAATTTTTTTTTAAAACCCAGTAGTACTTTGCCCATACCCGGGAATCGAGCCCGAGACCCCTTCCCAGCAGTCGCACTTGCGACCACACGGCCAACGAGGCAGTCATTACACATGAATATTTGATTTGTGACTTGTGAATATCATCAACAACCTTCTCCCGTTTTGGGTGAGGCGCAAGAGATTATCAGATTTGTATGTGCAATCTTTTTAGGAAATCAGTACCTACTTATTTATTACATCTAATTTTGCTCACATAAAAATACAATGAAAATATTTTGCATAAATGTAATACATAAACTTGTATAGTGTTTTTCATCCGAATACTGAAAGGTGCTCAATATTAAGTTGTATTTAAATATCGTTCCATCTCTGTCATTTTACAAAGAATCTGTAGTGACACAGCTATACAAGCGCGACTTAAAATTAAGTAACGTTTCAGTATTCCGGTATTAATGATTTAGTTCATTGTATTTGAGATGGGCCTATAAAGCCTGAAATATTTTTTTTATGGCATAAGCCGGTAAACGAGCCGACGGATCACCTGAGTGCCAAGCACGAATAACGTTCTGATTGGTTGGTTCACTTGAGCCGGCCAATCAGAGCGCCGAACGCGCTCGATACTATTATCGCCCATGGATACCTAGAACACTAAGGCGTTACAAGAGCGTTGTCGGCCTTTTGGGCATTGGGAATTTGAGGATTGTGGAGGATTCGGGAATTCGGGAGACTGGGGAGGCGCACTCACATGACGACACACAATGTAACCGTTGTTTTACGTCGGTTTTCTGTGAGGCCGTGGTATCACTCCGGTCAAACCGGCCCATTCTTACCGAAGCATGGCTCTCCCACACTTGAATAATAAAATAAACTTACAACATGTATGGGCATGACCCAGCCGGCAAGAGCTCCGACACCAGGGAAACAGGCCTTGGCCCCTCGAAGTCCTGACAGTCCATAGCCAGGTTGTATTGATGGTAAAGCACCCTTGCGAACCACTGCTATCGAATATTGGTAAGGCTTGCCCGCACCATATAGCTGTTGATGAAAGTAATCTTTGAAAAAAAAAACTAAATAAAAACTCTCAACAACTTTACCAAAAAACGTATACTCCAGAGCCACAGACTTAATTTATGTTCTATGATTTTTTTTTTCAATTTCCTACAGACAGATTTGTCCTCTTACCTCTTGTAGTATGGGCACTAGAGAGTGGTAGCGGCCAGCAACATATACTTCTCCAGCATCTAAACCAAGCAAGGAGGCTTCACCTCGGTCCACCCATGTCATGCACTCCTCTGTATCAAAAGCCTATGAAAAAAAAAAGATGTAAAGTGAAATATAAAAGTGGGAACTACTGGCAGTCTAAAGACATATTTTCTTTATGCACAAAAAAAACAAGAAACAAAAAAAGGTTTTAACTAACAAGACAAAAGTCTTTGATATCTCTGTAAAGCAAAAAACATTACTGTCAGTTTTCTTTTATGTTATTTTTTCCATTAGTTTTAGTGTATCTTAAGTAATAGTCTTAAGTCTTAAGGGGATAAAAAGGCGTGATGTTATGTTATGGTAGTCTTAAGTAAATGCCTAGTCTTAAGTAAATGCCTACGGCATTAAGTCCGCCAATTTCACTGTATGTGCAATAAAGTTTTAATAAATAAATAAATAAATAATAGTTGTTATTTATTTTTTTTTATATTATTTGTAAATAAAGATTATATCAGAAACCTATTAGGGGTTGAATTTCAAGAAGTCAGTTAAAACAATTATGCCTATTTTCAACCACTAACCCTAAACAATCTCTGAACCCTTAGTGTTTCATGTAAGACACTAGTGCCTGATGCCAGTGGAGGCTTGACTTTCTCTCCACTAACTACATTATAGACCTTATTTCCAATGTTTAGAGACTACTTTTGTATTAGGGGATGATTTTCAATGGGTTAAAGTGTCAACTAAAAAATACTTAAGTGTGACTGAGCATGAGCACCTAAACTAAGCCCTTGTGCTGTTAGATGTCACTTATAGTTTGGCATAATAAACCAAAATATTGTTAAATGTGTTAGCTTAAAATTTAAGATTGGTTGGTGGGAATGGGCAGTATATCATAAATTGTATATAATATTTGTAAAGTATTCCCCAAATGCTACTTACTCGTCTACACTTCAGCTCAATAAAATCCTTTCCAAAGAGTCCCTTGTCCTGTAAAACTGACTGTGCCAATTTCTCACATTTCTGGTTCTCCAGTAGTGATGTGGTACACCAAGTAATGATGTCTTGTCCCTCTACTTTAGGCACTTTGTTTATGCCATTGATAGCATTTTCACTGCCATAAATACTGGCACTTGTTATTCCTGTAATATTAATTATAGTTAATTTGACTTTGTCTAAATTATATGTTTATATAAGGTTATTGTGTCTGTAAGGTAAGGGACCGGCATCATAGCTTGTATAGAATAAATCTGTATTTCTGCAGCTTACCTAGAAGAGTAAAATAATAAGATATGAGTAATATGAACACGGAACTATTTTTATTTCCTAGTTATAAGATAATATAACTTCATGCATGTCTCCCATGGGGGTAGGCAGAGACTAAAGAACACTAGTGCTACGTTTCTTACATACCATTTCGGCTGTATTATATAGGAATAGGACTCATAACTGGTAAAAAGTGGGTGTAACATAGTATGTACACTTTTACCTAACCCTTCAGTTGTGATATTACTTTATTTATTTTTCCTGTATTTTGGTTCAGAGTACTCCTGTCACTTAATGTTATTTTGGGACTTTTATATGATATCGCTTATGCTTCTAAAGTTAAACTTATAAGCTGTTCCAATAGGTATTTTCTTTCTAATAAGGCTAATGTCTTCAAATTTGTGTGGTGTTAGGTTTCACTTGTCTAATTTTTTTCACGTCTATGTAAATAATAATTGCTTCCTACTTATTCCAAACCAAAGTTATTATATTAAAGTTTCTAGCCAGGTGTTTGAGAATTGTATAGGTATGTCGTGTTCTTGTTTTCTTAGTTGAATTTTTTAGTTTTATCTATTATTCTGGTACAGATATCATCCGCATAAGGCAACTAAGCTTTGTTTCACGTTAGGTCGCAAAATATACTTTAATTTAACAAATAATTTTCAAGTAAATAAATAGTTGCCGAAACTTTGCCACAAGTTTCTTGTCCATTTACTTACCAATAAGAATGGAAGTAAGCGTTATAATTTTGTAAATATTCATGTTCATAGATATTCCACAAAATTTCATTTATAAATGCACCGGTTCATGTTGTTTTTCGTTAAATTTATAAATTTTTGGACACGCCCCAGCGGTAAATAAACTGTTGACTTGAGTTGACCAATTTGATTGATATTTTTTTTAATAAGGGCAATGATGCTCCTACTATTTGAATACTAGGTTTTTTAACTACCATTTAAGGAGACAGCTGGTGTGTGTGTAATTCTGTTATTTATTTATAATTCAAGTAGAAAATACATATCACACATAATCACTACACATTATTATTTAGTTTATTCACTACTTCACCATAAAGTCGCAATCTTTTTGGGACAATTGCTATTTGACGTCAAAAAAAGTAACAACTTTGACAATACAATTGAATGATGGTTGACATTGACACTTGACACTTTAACATTTGGTAGTTTGACAATTTATAGAAGTTTCACGAAATCGTTGCAAATTTTTAATTTTCTTTAGATACCTACCTTGATATAAAAGTAAGATACTTGAATAATTAGCCATAATTTTTCATTTATAAGTTTGTAAAATAAAATCATAAATAGTTTATGTTACCAATGCACATTTGTTTTCAATTACAGGTTATAATTATTTGTATTCAAAACAATTAGTTGGAAAAGCACGTGTTTTATTTAACTGCGATGGTTGTATTCACGTGTGGTCATTGCGGAGAATCTGTGCAGAAACCTAAGGTGGAGAAACACTATATGACAATATGCAGGAATAGAAATCCCAACTTGTCCTGCATGGACTGTTTCAAAGACTTTCTGTAAGTATTAAAACCTAGAATGATGAGTTGTTTACGCGACCGCATTTAGTATGTAAACATTAGGTTTCCGTCTAGCGTCATTGCGGCACCCATACAGGTTTCTATAAATAGAATTATGTCAATGAAAACTGTTAGCGCCAGATAGGAAACCAATAAGAATGCTATTATATTTTGTATTATTTACAGTTTTTCCAATATACCATCTACATTTGTTTTCTTTCTAAAGGTTGTATGTTAAGATACTATTTAGCAATCTAATAATATACTTAAATTATTCTAATTGGCAAAACACTGTTTTCTTTTTGTAAACTATGCCTCCTTTGGCAATGTGACAAATTACAAATCAATGAGACCAATTAAAACATTTTTGTGGCTTATGTAACTACCTACTTACTTAATTTTAATTTGAATCAAATAAATCTCTTTCTTATCAATTTCTGAAACAATTACAGGGGCCAGGATTATGAGTCACATATAAAGTGCATCACAGAAGAGGAACGCTACTCTGGAAAAGGTTTTGTTTCTAAAGAAAAAAAAGGTGAGAAGAAGCAAAATGCGTGGGTTGAAATGTTACAATCTGTATTAGATGAACAAAAAAGTGCACCGAGAAATGTACTTAGGATTATTGAAGCCATCAGCAAACATAATAACACACCTCGCAAGAAACCCAAGTTCATCAACTTTGTAAAGAATGTTTGTGGGCATAAGACAAACCCTAAGGACATTGACCAAGCCTGGGACTTAATATCTGTCAAATTGACAGCTTTATCTAATGCTAACAATAAGAATCAAAACCAAAAGAAGGATGCAACCGAAGAAGAAAAATCCAAAAGTTCCACAATGGAGGAAACTGATGAGAAACCTGAGGATAATGACTTGGAAAATGAAAAAGCTGATGAGAATGAAGAAGATAAGAATGGTTTAGTAGAAGAAGATGGCGAAGCAGTAAAGAATGAGGAAGAGGATGCAGGTAACAAAAAGAAGTCTAAAAAGCAAAGGAAAGAAGAGAAGAAGCATAAGAAATATGAAGCTGAACTGCAAAGTGCTGCAGCTCCACCTGAAGAACTAGAAGAAGAAACTGAAACTACAAAAGGCAAAAAGAAAAAGAACAGGACTGAATCTATCAATGGTGAAGAAAATATTCAACTAGAAGGTAAAAATAGCAAAAATAAAAAACGCAAGAGGCAAGATACTGTAAATAGTGTAAATGGAGCTCAAGAAGTTGCTGATAATGGAATGGAGCAGGTGGAAGCAGTGGTTGCTACAGGAAAGGCACAAAAAAAGAAGAGCAAGACTGCACAGGAAGAAGAAGAGGCAGAAGCAGAAGAAAGTATCTGTTTGCATGACCAGAATGTTGCCAAAATAGGAGAATTAGCTGTTAGTGATAAATTTAATTGGCATGCTGTTATAATATCTGTATTGCAGAAGAAAGGCAATGAATTACCATTCAAACGTTTGCAAAAGAAAGTTTTAGGAGAGTATAGTGAGACGACAGGCAGAGAAGTTGATGACCGGATCGCTGACAAGTTTATAAAGAAACTGAAGAGTGCTCCCAATGTGAGAGTTGTCAAGAACACAGTGCTCCTAATTGACTGAGAAGTTGTTATGAAATAAATTTGTTTTTATAATAGTGCCACACTTTGGAAGGAGGTTTCTGTTGAATGACAATTTATTATTGTTACATTATTGCTACAATATTGACTGGTTTGACATTGCATAATATTGCAGATATTTATATGACGTTGTAGAATTGAAAGCTGTTTCATGTTAAAAATACATAATACTTATTGGCCATAGAGCAACATGGAGGGGAGTAGCCATTGCGTTATAAACCGATACAAAACTGTCTGTCATTTTTTGCGGGGGGAAATCACACATTCTCAAATTCTCACACAAAAACATTCTATGTCACTACGAAACTCACACTATGACAATTGAAAAATACACTGACAATTTCACACACACATTTAAACAATCCCTGTCGTAATAGTGTAATAATATGACGCAACTACACTTACACCCGCAGTTGTAACAATTATCGATACGCATTATCGATAAATTCAAGAACTCCGTTAAGGAAATTAGCTTTAAAAATTTATTCAAAGAAAGATATTATTATTGACTTTAATTATTATACCATTTTTTTACCTAATTAATTATTATACCCCTAACTACCTACTACTACAATAATCAGACAAGATAATAATAACAAACAAAATTTTATTTTTTTTAAATAAATTAAATTACTAATCCCATTTAAAAACCAGCCGTGAATAACTGATACGGAACTATCACTGGTTTTTAAAATAGATTAATTTTCTTTAGATATGACGAATACATTTTTGGGGGTTTTGTTTTTTTCAATAAGTTAGAAATTATTGTATCAGTTTATTTTTGCATTATTAATCTTGCTAATACATCTTGATTTGAGCAAATGGCAATATTTCTTGTGGGAATCCAGGTTGGTCTGTTATGACAAAATGTCTTACATATATCTCTTAAATTTGGATCTTTAGGAAATCTGCAATAAATAAATAAAATAATAATAAATATAGTTTAAGTTCTCACTCAGTATTTTTTATTTAAATCAGAAAACTTAATCCCAAAAAATCTCACACTTGACTTCAGCTTTTACATTTTTATCGATAACTCTACAAACAAACCGGCAACAACGCTATCGCTCGGCGACAGCGAATTCTAGGAAAAAAACTCGGATTTGTCGCTCGACCGATCCGCGTTTTGTATGAGTACGCACGGATTTGTTGGTAAACAAATCCGAAACAAGACGATTGATAATATTGTAGTTTTTTTAAGTTTATAAGAAGTAAGTAGCAATAATGTGATTAAAAATTACTTAATATGAAAGGTAACACCATGTTTTTGTAAATTTGACGTGGCAGATCTCTTTTTGTAGCAAAAAACAGAACAATTCGGCATTTTTACGACGCCGTCGATTCACTAACGCAACTAGATTTAGTCTGGTGAGCAGTTGAGTTGCAACTAGTTTTATTGTAAGCATAGGACCATTTGGACTTATACTTTGACAGAGGGGAACGCCTGCGTATGGCTACTCCCCTCCGGTCCGCCGGTGGCCCGTGTTGCTCTATGTTATTGGCTTTACGACATTAGCTTTAATGCATAGATGTTTGATAAATATAAGGAAAGTTTTAGCTGCCAAGGTGTGGAGCCAAATTGATATAGATTTAATACAGTTAAATAATAGTTTTTGAAGCAACTCATTCTATATACTACTTATTTAGTTCCAATATTCTTTGTATAAGGCAATAATAACAATGTTCTTAATATCAAAATATGGTTTTATTTCCTAGCATTTTAATTAAAATATTATTAACGCAGTGTTGCGAGTTCGATTCTTGCTCGGCACATGTACTTATAGGATTTGACCGCACGGTTAACGCAGTGATTAGGCGGTCAGAAAGTCAAACATTGCAGGTTTGATTTCCGCAGAGAATAAGGGGTTTATGCGATCATCAATGTAATTATTATTGTCTGGGTTACAAAGCACATAATTATAATATCGCAACAAGAAAAAAACCGATTGGGTGAAATATTACATCACAGCACACCTGAAGGGTAAGAAGCACGTAATATATAGGTACCTACGTACCTACCTACCTACCTTTTTTATGGGATGAGCCGGTAAACGAGCAGACGGAATACCAAGATGTTATAAGTGCGTTACCGGCCTTTTAGGGATTAGGAATTTGAGAATTGATGGAGATTTAGAGATTGGGGAGGGAGGGAGGAGGGTGATTGGGCCTCCGGTATGAGGCTGTGGTAACACTCCGGACGAGCCGGCTCATTCGTGCTGAAACATGACTCACTCACACTTAAACCTACAATAAGGCATTGATACTATTACCCAAATTTCTGACGTAATTTATGAGAGTTGAGCAGAGACGGTTAAACCTAGAGAGCACCGTAGGCAAGCATCCCATAGGCGCCCCTTATTTCGCGGCGCCGCGACCGTGTCTCGCAGCGCCCCTCCGTAACTAGTCGCTCTAGGCACCTGCCTAGTTTACCTTAGGGATAATACGGTTTTGGAGAATGACTTACTCCCTAGGTGGGGCAGAGGGTATCTATCCACAGAGGTCCTTCATCTCAATCGTAATCGCTTCTGGTTTCATGCCATTCTAATACTCGCCGGTTCTGCTATCGAGGGTTTGTCGAGGTCGGCCACGCTTCCTTATCCCCTAGCGTTGGGGATTAGAACTATGAGTGAAATAAAAAAGATGGAAGCTAAAAAGTACCTACTATATACTGAAAAAACATCAATAAGTAACCTAGAGGCTTACCAGTGCACAATAATAGACACGTCTTCAAAGAAACTCCTTTTGGGGGAGCACGGTGGCATTATCAGGCATCATTAATCATTGTTATTCATTGCCCGCTAAGGCGCTAACATTATTTCGATGTTCTACATTCTTATAAAGAGTTTTTGTTAGGGCGCACGGTTTCAAGTGCCTATATTGGAATTCTTTGTCAACACTTTCGATTAAACGGCTGTAGGCTGTATAAGTATTAAAATTGTTTTTGTATATTTTTTATTACGTACCTACTTAATTTTGAAAGAACATGCTGTGTGGCGTAGTTACCTACTTGACGTCGTTTGGTAGGATTAGAAGTAGGTAGGTATGTTACTAGTTCCGCGCGGTTTTTCCCGACTACCTATAGTTTTCTTTGATAAAATTGGACTATCATACGACACAAAAATAATGATAAGTAAGTATACATGAAATAATAATATTATGAGTAGCAACTGCGGGCTCGTGACACAAAATTGCGATGCGACGTCGAATCGCAAAAATGTGCGAGCTCCCTCTACGCATTACAAGAACTTGCGAATGCGCATCAAAAGATGTGCAATGCGAATCAATTCGCTCTTCCTATCTTCAAAAAATCCTATCTACCCAAAATCTTCTTTGTTTCTTTTTCCTGTATCTATCTCCTAAGCAAAAACAGAAGTGCACACTTGTATTTACGATCCATGTCACGACTTAGTTTTTTAATTTAAAATACGTTCAGTACCTACGGTTAACAGTCGTCGAAGGAATGGTCAACCCGGGAAAAGCCTTAATTGTCGCACGAAATCGCATCGCAGTTTTGTGTACAAGCCCTTAGATAGTATATGATAGATACAAAATGGCTTCAAATTATAGTAGGTACATGTACCTACATGTACAGGTAAACGTATACGCAGCCTTATAGGCTACCTAAGTAGGTACCTATACCTACTGCCACCATTTTAATGACTTGTAAAATGTATGAGGGTAAGTAAGGGTAGGTACTTACCTAGGTACTTACTTATTTTTGGGCTTACGTCGGAATGAGGATTGTCGTAAACGTACTTACCTTAAGGTAGGTAGTACCTTACCTAGTACTTATTTAAGTAAATAAAGTAAAGGCAGGTAGGTATATAACATTTGGGTGTAGGCATCTATAGCTAGACATCACGTAGGTACAATGTAGGTGTATCATGTACTTGCCTCTTTGTATGTACATCCCTGTATAATAGGGTAGATGCCTAATTTTTATTTTAATGTCCGTCTGGTAGATTATTTTAAATCATTAGACACGTTTTTTTATTTTCTTACGGAAACGAATACTTTCGACGATATATTGATTTGAAATGTCGTGTGACGTCACTTCTATGTACATTTTATACGTAGAAATTTTCATTACCTAACTTACGGACTGATCATATTTTTAATTTTCATACCCTGTCATCAGCCCAATTGTATGTTTGTTGTTTATGTTATACCTGCAAATATACAGGCTAAACATTAGCCTGTATATTTACCTATTTATATAATGTCGAGAAGTACAAGTGAGTAAGTTTAAAAATAAACTAACTAAAAGCCGAGTTTTGTAGGGACTCGTGTAATATAATCTATATATATATAATTCAAAGGTGACTGACTGACATAGTGATCTATCAACGCACAGGCCAAACCACTTGACGGATTGAACTGAAATTTGGCATGCAGGTAGATGTTATGACGTAGGCATCCGCTAAGAAAGGATTTTGATCATTTCTACCCCCAAGTGGGTAAAATAGGGGTTGAAAGTTTGTATGATGCTTTGTCAGTTTTAAACCGACCGGGATGAAGAATTTGCATGCATAAAGTTACTATGATATAGGTGTAGGTATCTCCGAAGAAAGGATTATGATAAATTCCACCCCTAAGGATAAAATAGGGAATGAGAGTTTGTATAAATCTTCTTAGCCATTAAATATAGAATCATTGAATCTGTTTGAATTAGATTCGATAAAACGATAATTTGAGACTTATATATTATTATGATAGTTTTTATCACAGAAGTCCCACGGGCACGGGAACTACGCGTTAATGCCCCAGGACTCTCTATCTCTTAACTACTGAACTTATTTTAGAGATATCGGTACAACAATAGTCGATAGAATAGTTTTTACCACTGAAACCTTACGGGAACGGGCACTGTATACTTGTATACTTACAATAAATACAAGTATACTTTTTATTAGGGCCGAAAATTAATCAATGGAGAGGCGAGAGGGGGTGTAAGATTCGTACTGAAAAAAAAACCTCCTGTTCCTACTTCTATGTCGTGACGAAGCCCCGGTGACAGGATACGTCTTTCGCGGCTAGTAAAGTGTACCTACCACAAATAAAAGTGGTCTTATGGTTATAGTTAGTTATAGTTAGTATGGTATAGTTAGTCTCGCTTCACTCGTCCTGATCAATAAACATTATTTATTAGGTGAAACGTCGGTCTAAGTCTAACCAAAGAAAATTAATTAGG